CAGCGAGCGGGGGGGCAGGCTCTCGCTGAAGGCCAGGAGGGTCAGCCGTGCTTCCGCTGGTATTTCCTGCGCGGCACAGTCCCGTACCTAACTGTACAAATAGCTCCACATGGCATCCTGAGACCGTGCCAGGGAATTTTATGATCGCACGCCAAGTATGGTTGTCAGGTTCCACTCCACTGCTGTGTGTGTATGTGTGTGCTCATATGTGTGTGTGGCTGAAGCTAACTTCAGACTGAGTAATTACCATAATCCAAACAGGGCCTTTACCATCTTATTTGCATTCAGCCAGCAGTGCTGTTTTTATCAGCACCACTACTGAATTGTTGCAAAGTTTTAATTATCTTGACAACTCTCCTTTTTTTTTTTTTTTTTCTATTCCTTTTTTTTTCTCTCTCCCCTCTTGGGTTGTGTTTGGATTTCAGCAGTCATCCCCCTATGGCAGCAATCACATTTCTGCAATGAGGAAGTTTTCTCACTTTTTCTTCTAGTATTTATAAGCAGCCACAAAGGCTGCTTAGAAGGGGCAGAAATGGAGGGAGGTTGTATTTATTAGTTAATGCCTAATATTTTTTTCAGCAAAAGTCACTCCAGATGCCACTTTGTGAATTGCACTTGAAGTCCTGGCATAACTTTACGCATGTATGTAAGCTTGCAGAATTGAAAGAAAACCATTTCCTTTGCAGAGAGATACCCCCTTGTATAAATGTTTGCCAAAATAGAGCTTTAGTTGTCATGTTTTCAATATTTCTATAATCTTTTGATTTAGGATTAGTATAAAGTGTATCATGTCAGTTATATTTGCTCTCTCTCAAACACCCTGCATTTTCAGTATTTGAATGCTATTAGACAAATTCAACCTTGAAATAAGACACTGTCTCCTAGCAGTAAGGGTAATTAAACACTGGAAGAGCTTACCCAGGGAGGAGGTGGACCCACCATAGCTTGGAGTCTTTAAAATGAGATTAGACATCTTTCTGAAAGACATTGTTTAATCCACCTACTTGGGAAAGGCTCTAGTGCATGTATACAGGGGGTCAGAGGAGAAGATTGCCAAAGCCCCTTTTGACTTCTCAAACCATTGGTCTAGAAATCTGAGCTCAGATATGTTTTGGTTCAACATTTAAAGAGAAACTATAACACCTACATACAAAAATTGGTTTTTGGGAACATTAAGACTAAATAGGTTTTAAAACTTTGTTGTCCACTGCAGACAATAATGCTCTGCCTGCTGGGTTTTGCACTACCTTTTGTTTTGCTTTTATAAATAGCTACAAATCACAAAGTTTAATGCAGAATAAAATACTCCAATATGAGATTGCTATGGAGGAATAGAAGGCTTTAAAGCCTAAAGATTCACAAGGAGAAAAAATGCAAAAATGCTTTCTAGTCTGTTGGCATTTCAGGTACAATAGATGTTTTAAAAATAAGCCAAATTAATGTATTTTTCTAACCATAGAATATTATGACTGTATTTGGCATCTCATCTCTTACAAAGTTTATGCATTAGATTGCACATAATAGCCACTAAACAGTGTGGTAGTATTCTGTTCATCTAAAAGATAGACAAAATCTGTTTAACAGTCCTTAGACATTTCTTTTGCTGTATTTTGGCCTCATGAACACCTTATCCTTGTTTTCCCTTTAAAAGGAAAAAAATTAAAGGTAAAAACCATTAGGGATTTCTCTTTAAATCCAGCAATCTATGCATACTACTAAGAATCAATGCTCTGTAAGCTGTCTGGTGTTCTGCAATAAATTCTAGCTTTTATAGACTTTTTCTGGGCCAGGTAGCTGTTAATGCCATAGAAATTGATTATTTGTGGTGTTCTTATCACTGCTTAAAATATCTAATTGCTTTTTCTCCACAGATTTGGATTTGGCTTGCTTGATGCTGGACGATTAATGAAGGAAGCCCTAACTGGACAAATGTTGGTCTCCTGAGACAATGTGTTGTTGATAACAGGTCTGATTTGAGCAAGTCTAGTCAAATTCAATTTTAATAGTGTTTAAAGGCGCACACACAGGACACATACAGCCGAGCTTTCAGCTGGTTTGTCTGTTTTTTAATGTCTGTTGTGTTACCAAAGCTTATTCCCATTAAGTATTAAACTTTGCAAGGCAGTAAAGACACATACCTGTCAGCTGCAAAGACACAAATTTAGCCTCAGTACAGCAGATTTTGTTCGAAATTTGCCTTTCTTCTTTCATACTTATGCAGACTGGAATATGTAATTCATCACTACATGACTGTTCCTGTGGAGGAATTATTGCACTCTGATTATTTTGAACCCTAAAAATTATTGATTGAGGTAAAGAAGAAAGAAGAAGGTATTGCAATCAGTTCTCAATCTAGTGAGGGCAACCTACTTAAAGGCAGCTAATCCTTAGCCTAAAAGCTGAATGCAGTTGCTACCACTCCTACAGGACTTTTCACATCTCTGTGCCTGTGTCATTTATGTGAAGTTAAGTACAAAACGTTTTCCACTGCACTACCAAAATCAAGATAACCACCAAACATCAAGGCACTATCTTATTGGATTGCTGCATTGACTGTGAAATTCAGCTCACAGCTCAGTCACAGCTCCAGCTGAGGAGGAAAAAGTTCTCACATGCCACCAGAATTCTGGACTTCAGGATGTCCCCCCTCTCATAAAGTGGAAGCAATGACATCTAAAGTCAGTAGGGTCTAGAGTACTTTCCTCCTTCCAACACCTCCCATTTTCTAGGGAGAGGTAAAACCAGGGGGAAATGGAAGGTGCCTCTGTGCATCTTGCACCTCTTCTAACCACAGTGCTAGCCTCTCTTTCTTTGTCCCCAAAGAAGGTTATTGAAACAGAGCCTAATGGCCAGCTCCCTGCAGGCCTAGGTATGGCACTGCACATTGTTTTAAGCAGCACTTTGAAGAAGTGACTGTGTTTTCTTGTGTGGTGTTTGTTGTCTTTTGTATTCTCTGGAGGGAAAGGTAGAAATCTCAGAGGGGGAAGAAAAACGGATGGACATGCAAAGTCACGAAGACAAGGTCTGTACTCCAGTTCCAGCAATTATCTGTAATCATAGCCCTTTTCAGCAAAGTGGCCCCTAGCCAGTTTGGGACCTGGAGTCCTCTCCTCTGGCTGATGTTAACAATATTTGATTCAAATAAATCAATAACCCTGTTGGTATCTCTTGCAGCATTATCATAGTCCCAGCAGTGATGCTGTAAACTGATGTTTTACCTATCATCCTGAGTATGAGGTTACCCTAGGTCTGTCTCAATTCATGGAGCAGTCAGACTTGTCACTGCCACCTTGCAGAGACCCCTCCCCTTAGACACAATGCTCTTAAACAGGGTGTTTCCTCTCCACATGCCATTCTTTAGGAAAAAATTAAGATTTATTAGTCTGGAGAAAACAAGAGACAGACCGTAATTTACTTTTTCTCCTGCTGTGCAGGTGCAGAGCAGTTACCTACAATGAGCTCATCCCACAGTGTCTTTTTGTTTATCAGTTTCAGCCGGATTAATGTTAAGATGGACCGTGTACAAACAGCTGGTTTTGTGCACCTATGGATCAATGACTTCTGCATGTTTTCCAAGCATTTTTGTAAAAAAGGCAGGAATGAAGTAGAAATGTGTATTCCTGCGAGGTGCTTGCTTCCCAAAGATGTTTCTCTGTTCAATCCTGCTGTAATTCTCCAGCAAAGCAATGCAGAGTTACACCCCTGAGGGACAGAAGCACTCTCCCTTTTCTCTTGATCAATGTTATATGTAAAAGGCATAGCAAGGAAGTCTGTTTCTCAATATTGTACCTACCTGAGGCTCCTGAAGGTGTGATTAATTGGGAGTAATTAATTAAACCATGAGTCATGGCCTCCTTATTTTTTCTGTCACATTACATATGAACAAGAGGGCAGTCAGTGCAGTTAAATGGTACGAGATAGTAAATTTAGAGCAAATAAAAAGAAATTAATTGTGTTGCATGTGGTCAACCTGTGGGATTTCCTGCTACAGGTGACCATCTGATAAATAGGGTTCCTTGATTGAAAAGAATAGTTGTTAATGCTATTACCATAACAGATGGAACCATCACTGTATTTCTGGGACTTCTGGGTGTACTGGGAAGGCAGAAGTGAGTCCTGCTTGGCTAATAAAGTAAGAGCAAATGCACCATGTGCTGGGAAGTCAGGCAGGAGTGCTGTTCTCCATGGGCAACAGCACTGCACTATTAGCTTGATCTATGACTTGCTATTTCATGGTTTGGTTGGTTGTTTATTTGTCTGTCTTTTTAATTCCTCTGGAAAATACTGTACTGGCTCTTTCTGTTGACTGAATGACCAGGCTTGGGCAGAAGACATAGCATTCTTCTTCTCTGACCTTTATATCAAAATTGATTAACAATAATTCTTTTGCAGAAAAGGATTGACAATAAGATGTGGATGTTCATCTTTAATGAACTCTAGTCACCAAGTGGAAGCCAGCTAAGTTTGATGATGCAATTGACCACCTTCTCAGCAACAGCTGAATATTTGCTACTCAAAATGTTAAGGTAATGTTGTATTCATAGACAATAGGAAGAACCACCTGTTGCTCTACTTGGATTTTTTGTGTCTGTCATATAATTTCTTGGTACCTCTCTCATTAGTGGTGATAGCAGGATTTGCTGGCTAGTATTTATGCAGTCAGAAATGGTAATCAGCAAGAATAAAATTAATAAATAAGAATTAGAGTCTGTGTAATCCTGTAAAATATTGAGAATTTTATGTTTATGTATTTTAATCTATGTAAAGTAAGAAGTCCACTCATAGCTTAATTGGTTTTGTTTGTTATCATGTTTGGCATTTTAGAGAAGAGTTCGCTAAAAGGGTTCTGTTTTATATTGTTCTCACTTTCTAATATAAAACTCTTATTTAAAAGACTCTTTGTTTTCAATTATGAAAGTACTTTCCTGATCTCATTAGCCAAAAATGATGAAGTGCTGTTTTTCCTGTTTATTTGTGACAATACAAATTAAACACACCTATGGCAAACCAATTACTGTGTTTATTCTTTTTATACAGAGCAAGCCTGTTAGCTGCAAATGTGAAGAGATGAAGCAAGCAGAAAAGAAAAAGTGTGACGAGCTTTGCTGCCATATCATCCCTGTATCAGATAGTTTTAGGATCAATGAATTAATAGGTATGTAAAGGAGACAGTTATTCTACAGAGAAGGGCTATTCCAGAGAAATGAAGGGGGAAAAACTAAAAGGCAGATCAGTACATTGTCACTATATGATGACAATATTAGAGAAAGAACTTCATTTGTCTTCTTTTAATTTTGCATCTTACAGTGGAAGAGTACTACAGAGAGATCTTGATAATAACATCTTTTATCTTATCAAGTGTTGCCACTGTACCAGTATTTTTGTTTCCTTGTTGGAGTTACTCATGTAAGAGGAACCACTCTGCTGTATAAGTTAAAAGTTCACATTCTGTCCTTCATTTTTGCACTTTACATTATAAGACACTTTGTTTACTATAGAGGTAATAGATATCATCACCTTTGGTTAACCATGAAAATGTTGATTTTCAAATTACTAGAAGTTTTAATTATTCTAATTATAACTTAATACTGCTGCAATGACATTTCACATGCAGAAGTTATATCAGTGAAAATCACTTAGGATAACAGGCAGAAATTAAAATGTTTTCTCTGAATATTCACAGTACACTGGAAATTGGGAAGTCAGGATTTCTCACAGATAACACCGTCCATTGCTGTGTTTCCCTCCAAGGAGTTACATGCTACATTCCCTTCCTCCTTTATACACTAAAGCAAGAGAAACATTTCCCTCACTAGCGAGGAGTCAGTTGTCTTCTTTGTCAGGCACTAGTTCTGGTGGTTTTGGTGCTGTACAAGGCAGAAGATATGGGAGTTGTCTGGATTGTCAGCATCAAGTGGTTACTTTAAACGCCAGAGGTGGAGGAATTCTGGAAAGAGCTGAAAAAATACAAGTAGATTAATTTGCACTTCACAGAAGTTTCTGTTAGAATAGAGACAGAAAAGGACTGAATGAGGCAGGAAGGGAAGAAAACATAGAGGCGAAGTAATGGCAAAAATTAAACATTAAATATTTCCTTTAACTGCATTCAGAGATGGGGATTATATTTGACCAAACAACAAAATCCTCCACCACAAGTCAGAGCTAAGGCTAACTCCACTTTTTCGTTTCAATACTTTCAACAGAAAGGACCCAGTCAGTTATTCTCTGTGTGCTACATAGTGTACATAGCAACACTAATAGACCAAGTAGATGGTTTTGTGGCATTGTATGAGTGGTATAATATTTTACTGTAAATATAAATAGGATACTCACTCACCTTGTTCAAGTTCCCAATGTACTTTATAATAAACCTAGTAATTTTAACAGAAAAATGTTGACCAACCCTAGCAAAACAGCATTCACATAATGAGCTGAATAGTGACACAAATCCCATCCATTTACAAAAAAGTCAGTGGTATTACATTGACTTTTACAATTTGAAGGATAAACACAGAAATGTGAGAGATGGAGTAATAAAAGCCATGTAGTCCCTGCTCTTCAAAGGTCTCACCAGAACCCACAAAGGTAATATACCTACTCTTTTTGATTTTAATAAGCTTTGTATAAGTCAAAAATCATTGAAAATTAATAACAGGAAAAAGAATCACTCTGTTTATATTTGTTGGGTTGTATCCACAATAAACTTATAAAAAAAGAAAACAGTAGAAAACATTAAAACAGAACCAAATAATAAATTAATTCGAGACTTCATTACCTTATTTTCTGCTCCAACACAAGTGTGTGATGACTTTTCCAAAGCCTTTATTGAAAACATTTCTTTTCCCATTGTGGAACTGTGCATCTTGCTTTCTTCTTGCAGCTGTTCCTTCTAGGGACATGAATCCTGGGACAAGCAGTTACCAATATCAGAGGGTAGTCTGGAATGTACCACCACCTGGGACACCAAAGGATTACAGATTGCTCTCATGGGAACTGCTGGGTGAGAGGTGGTGGTGGTGGGTCAGGAAAGTGTCCAGCTAAAGCAGAGTGCCCAGGAGTGCCCCAGGGAACAGAAGCAAGGACAAACATCATTCTGCCAGACACAGATTTCTGAGCTAACCTGGATTTTCAGGTAGAGCAGGTAGATTTTATTCTTTCAGTGGATTTTTATCTGACAATAAAATAAAGCAAGCAAAAGGAGTATAAGATTAGATTTAGATCCTCATTCTGCATTTCATAAAAGGAGGACTGAGGAAAAGACAGCTGGAGCGATTTTCTGGAGCAAGTTGTGCCCTGGGTCGAACTGGATCTCCTGTCTTGTTCAGAGGCTGCCCTTTCCTGACTGTGATGTGGAAGAAACACAGCCATTAGCAGGCACCTGCAAAAATGCTCCACCTGTTTTTGCTCAAAGTGACAAAGCCCAGAGGATGATGTCTGTGTTCCCTGCAGGTCTGTAGGGAGCATGATGTAGCTGATTCAATTCCCAGCTCCAGTACACCTGCAAGGTCTCATTGATCTGCTGTTCAGTGCTCTGAAAACTCAGAAATCTATTATCAGTGTGAGCATGTGCTTATTGATCAGGTTACCTGCTTCTGCTCCCTGTGTGTGCCTAATTGTACCAGCATACACACACACACGTAAATATTCACATATGTGTGCACAGATACAGGCACACACACATGGGTTAGGGGCATGTGTGTATGATAAAGGCTTTACCTTTTTTTTTTTTTTAGCTTTACAAAACTGCACATAAATAAAAAGAATGGACCTTCCCTGTGAAACGTGAGCACAGAAACGCTCACAAGTGGCCAAGAGCTGCTAAATAATTAATCAATAGAGCAGTGTGGCAGTTTGAAATGTAAATGTGATGGATGAAGGTGTGATGCTTGTCATCAAGCAGAAAATGATGTGACTGGAATGGATAACCCACAGTACCTGCTAACTGGCAAGAGCTTGGACACAAAGATAAAGTAAAGCCATCAGAAAGCAGACCTGGCAACCCCTAATTCTTGCCTTTGACCCACAATTCACTTTCATGTCTCTGTCCCAGAAGAGATGTTTAAAAAAATGATGAAGAGAGATCTTGGGGTGGGAAAGGGGTGAGAAAAAAACCATCTGAAGAAATGCTACCTGACAAGGCTGCAGGCTACGTTCTTGAGAACACCTTTCTTTTCTTTATGTTCTCCTTCTCCCGTTAAATAAAAATGCGGCTCCTTTTTTCCCTTCCCTTTCTTCCGAAACTCTCCTGAGCCGTTCCTGCAAGTGGTTCTGTGACTCGGGAGCTGACAACAACCGCATGCAAAGGAACAAAGAATGAGAGTGACAATTCAGAGTGCACGCAGGTGAGAAAGACACCTTTTACTTATCAAACTAGGCTGCAAAAAATGCTCTTTTTACTCAGCGAGCTAGAAATAGCGGTGATCTAACAAGGCACTGATCCAAATTCTTTATTTATGCTGAGATGTAATGCTAACAGGATTTTTAGGTTGACTAGTAGTCTGTGGCCCCTCCATTCAAGTAAGGAAGCATTCCTCTGATTTGGAAAGAGGAAAATCCATATAATTACCGTATATTATGTGACAGGAAAATGTATGCTGTGATGGTAAAGGGTGACAGAAAATGTCCATCAAAAAATTTGTTCTCAGAGTCTTCCTATGCCAGTCATTGCATTCTCTCTGAGGAGAAACACAACGTGATAGAACTCAATTGGTCCAAATTTGAGAGAAATTAACTTTTGTAAAAAATGGGATTTTTCTGATCCTTTTTTTCCCCCTATAAAATTGTAACCCTGCAAGTAGAATTTAAAAGTTCAATGCCTCCTTCTCTCTGGAAAAGAGAAACCTCTTTCTCAGTAAGTACCATTTAGCAGGTTGGAGATTTTTTTTCTCTTTTGTTATCAAAATCACACTCTTTACAGAAAGTGAAAAATACCATAGTTTTACATTAAATTTTCAAACTCCCCAAAATATACATTAGCAGATAACACCCACTAAAAGTGAAAGCTAAATATAGATATATAATAATAGTGCTTTGGCATGCAAAATAGATGTTCTACCATTTCTAAGTCATAAAATATAAATACAAGTATTCTCTTAAAATCTTTTTGTGTTTTTAGGATCTCTACAGATGTGAAGCAGCCTGCAGAAGCAGCAGATCTCCAGGTGAACTGGCCAATGTTTCCATATTTCCTCAAATGATTATTTTTACCTTTTATTTGTTGGGATCAGGTTTTTAATCTTTATGATACCTTTATAAAAGAGTCATCAAGAAAACGCCTAAGTATTTCTATACCAAAAAACTCCAAAAAAAAAAAGTGCCAAAATTAATCTTGGAAGTCAAGAATTAGAGCTTACATTAAAATGGAGCCCTAATTTGTCCAGCTCCATAGTAAATAACGCACATTTTGTCTGGGACAGGTTGCTGATTGTAAATCCACTGTAAATCCATTGAGGGGAAATCCTTTCTGTAAGCTGGCTACCTGGATAAGCTTTGAGCAAAGTGCCAGCTATCTGTGTATACAGGGAATCACCATGGTCCAAATAAATATTTCCTCTTTAGAATGGCAAAAATGTGGTCTGATTGGTAATTCAGCTTGAATTTCATTTTTGGGGCATTTTAAGTCGTGTCTTTGAATTTTTTGTTTTGGAGTTTTCATCTACCTCATGTCAGAGCCACTTAGCTGTATATATTTACTTACACAGCAGGGACATTCATAATAATTTTTAGTGTTTTTTGACAGCTTCACAAATGCAATGTCATCATAAGCAGGAATCAGACCTGAGAATTTGGAAAAATATGAGTACACTAGTCTGTGGGAAGGAGGAATGATCCCGCACTTTACATCTGTTATGTTTTTGACGGGATATGTTTGTAGATTTTGCAGGGTTAAAAAGGAATTTGGTCTAATGGCTCACAAAGATTGATGCTGAGTATAAGCAATTGCCATATTGCAGTAATGTAGCAATATTTATCACTAGTAGGTCTTCCATTCCCTCATAAACTGCTGTAGAAGTGGATAAGAGACATTTTAGCACTCTGTTGTCACTAAACTCACAGAAGTCCATTTCTGTACCTTGTCTGTCTCAGCTACAGAGGGTCTTGCTATAGAGAAATGACAGATTGGGCTGTAAATGTGCATCAGTCATCCCCAGCCTCAGGGAAGGAGAGGCACCTACTCAGGCTGGAGAGAGCTGTGATGCACCCTGTCCTTGTGCCCAGACTGCAGGACCAGGTCACTGCTGGAGAGTAATAGGAGCAGTGGTTCACTGTGGTAGGGAATGTACAGACACACCAGCAATTAGCCAATATTTTCAAATACCACAGAAACAGAGGCATCACCAGGACTTTACCTTTAAGTTTGGTAGGTACATAGAGGAAAGGGACATAAAAATTAACCTGACAAAGGCAGAGCTAAAACACAGACCTGTGTCTTAAACCTCAAAGTGGCCTTCAGCAGCTGCCTACTGCAGAGGAGAAGCTGACAACCTCCTAGCAGAGTGTCCCAGATCACTGTCCCAGTCTCCAGCAATTTGAAGCTTGGACATTTCCCAAGTTAGGAAATTTTGCCTACCTTGCTGTAGCGATGATTGTTTAAATATACAGCCATGACTTGCCCATACAAGCAGGCTTTGTTTCACCCCAAGTGTTATGCCAAACTAGTTGTATATCATCATGAAGAATAACTGCATTTCTCCAGAGCTGATTTCCTATGGCACATTTTACTTAGATACTTTCTCAACACCCTCGCAAATATGTCATAGATCTAAAGCACAATCTCCGTTTCAAAATGAATGGGTCTGATTACAGGCATATTCATTTTGTAAAAGGTACAAAAGGATACAAATGTGCCTTTCCATCTCCTATAATGTCAAAGTAAGACCCTCTTGCCCTTTTACTTCAATCCCCGCAATTTGAAAATATAAAAAATGACTTGATTATATGTTTTTTACCATTAAGTGTATAATTGCTTTTGTGTTTTGACATTTAATTCCTCTTACCAAAATACATGGTAGGAATTAAAAGTCAAATCTTTTATGTATTTGATGTACAGAACCTTCCACGTATTTCAATGAGGAATATAGAGCAGTGAAATCTCACAGCAGGTACAGTGAAGCCATCTAAAAATGAAGTCACTTTTTATACTGGAAATCTGACTGTGGCCCCAGTTCTGCCCTCCCTTATCTAGGTCAATGGCTTTTGAAATCACTGGAAGGTCTGAATGAGTCAAAACCGGGCAAAACCTGCAGGACTTGACCTTTAAAATAGAGCTGGGATTATACCGTGCCCTCTCAGGCAGATTTTGAGATTACAGTCCAGTCTGAAAATTAGTTCTGAAAGCCCTAAGACAGGAGTTGGCCAGGCACTTGAGTATATTGACCCGGTATGGGATGGTAGTAGGAAGGAACACGAATCCCAGAAGGGAGGAACAGGAGCAGCCAGGGCATGAGTGGGGTATCTCAGCTGGCCCAAGGCCAGCAGGAGGACTCTGATGTTGAGAGAGAAAGTGAACTCTGGGCTGGTGAAATGGTGTAGATGCACACAATATGTTGCTTGTAGGTGTTTCACATGGTTTTTATCTTCCCTTTGTCTCAACTTTCCCAGTAAGGTTTTCCCACTTCCTGTATTGTCCTTCCCTATATTGCGTTCTTCCCTCTCTTTCTCACAGTTTTAATATTCCTCCTTTTCCTCTGTTCTTCTGTCTCTTTTTCATTACTTGTGCCCTTTATTTGAATTCTGTCACTCCTTTCTTCCCTGTACTGCATGCCAAATTCTCCATCTTTACCTTAATTTCTGTTCATACTCATTCACAACCTACAGTTTGAGATTTCTTCTGGCTGCATTTCCTTCCACTGGTCACTCCATTGTGATTTATCCCCATTCACTCAAGTCCCACAGTGACTCGACCCTGCAGCCATAGCTGGGATTAGTGCCCTGAGGTTCAGATTTATGGAGTCTAGTGCTGTCTGAAAAAGTTTTCTGCAATCTGGGAAGCGGACTCTGTCTGGGACATCAGATGAATTGATCTTGGGACTGCCTGAGCCAGGAATTTTGATGGTAGGCAGTAATTGCAAACAAGAACTCAGCAATGCTCTTCCCAATGTTGGTATTCTCACTCACAAATTCTGTCACGCCTTCTAACAAAAACTGCTGGTCTAGGAGAATATGGTCTTGGAGTAAAATTTGCACTGTCTTTCTCCTTTTCCCGAAGCCGGGGACACAGTTTTCTTTCTTTTACCTCAGGAAAGATGCCATCAACAAAGGTAAAGGACAATATAAAGGGTATCCAGGAAGAGAAGTAAAGGGAGCAGGAAATAGTTGCATCAGGAAGAAGCAAGTCAGAGAGAGGGAGAGGAGGGGGAGAGAGATAGAGTGAGAGAGCTGATAATATCTCCACACAACAGTTGTAAGTGTCACCAAATCTCATGGAGACACACTTAGCTCCCCATAATGAAAGCAGCTTGCATTGCATGGGTGCCAGCCACACAAATGCTGGAAATTGCTTCCCTTTGGCCATCATGTGCTTGCACTTTGCAGGGGGAATGAGAGAGCTTGGGGCTGTTCCAGACCAGCCATGGCTTCCAAGGGCCTCCTTTCCATGCATCCTACTGCTGGCAGTATTGTGAGCATGAAGAAATTTTCAGGGGTGTGTTAAAGGTTCGTTTAGACATACACACGTGTGTACATGCACATGCACTTGCACATTTTTCTCATCATTGTTTCCACAGGCAAATATTTCAGTTTAAAAATGAGAAGGGAATGGAAAGCCCACAACAAGTAAATCACATAATTGGCCCAAGCCCATACATTCAGGAAGGCAGATTTACAACAAAGAGCAGACTTACTACAAAGAAATGGATCTCATTTTTGTTCAATGAGTTACTGCAAGTAATAGAAGTCATTGATTTATACCTGTATCATCCTGTCTTCGAAGTCTCTTGATAGATGTTTTAGACCAGCCATCCTGAATATCTTAAGTATGTTCATATGAGTAGCTATTTTACCCACAATTGGGTGTCATTTGAAAATTCTGTATTTTTGAAAATCTGTAATCTTCTCAATTGACCTGCTTCACAGTAGCCATCAACTCAAGGAGATGCTTCAAAGTTAACAACTTTTTATTCTTTTATGATCATGCAATTCTGAATTTGGGAGGTGCAAGAGAGGTGCAAATTATTGCTTTCTTGCAGGTCTTACGGGGTGACCAAAGTCTTCAATAGGTCACCTTGCATGGTACAGTATTTCAGAACACACTTGCATCCAAACAAGAGTAATTGCTCATGCTACTCATAAGGGGCTCTCTGTTCACACCACTCGCCAAATGGATTTGGGGTCATTCAAAATGACCTTTTAAATATTTTTTTTTAAGGAAATAATGTCAAAAAACTACAGAATTTATTGCTGCTCAGCCTGAAAGAAAGCTGTTTCTCAGAATGGGGAACTAGGGGAAGATGTTTTCACTCAGCTGGAAGTTTTATGGGGCAGATTTCATCCATAATCCAGAATTAAATGTCAGGTCCATTGAGATCTTGAAACTCAATGAATGTTCAGCCCCAGAAATCAGGTGATGAACCAGAACTTCAGACTCTCAGAAACCAAACACTTTGTGCTTCAGAGAGATTTGGTTTGGTTTTATGTTTTCTCTATTTTTTTTTTCTTTTTTTCCTTAATTTTGATGGATGATGTTTTGTTCTGCAGTGAGTTTTAATGTGTGTAGCTGTGGAACATTTTCAATTGTCGCAAACAACAACAACAAAAAGCAATATTTCAATATTTCTCAAGAAAAGGCTTCAAAGGTTTCAGATCTTTTTAAAATGTTTCTGCTTTATTTTGACGTGGCATAAAAGTTTTGTATGCAGTCTCGCATCCGCTATTGTGACAGCTGTATTTAATGAGTGCAAAATGATCAGAAAAACATCCTTTTCTGTGGGTTGCCATTGCCAGCAGATGACAGGAGAGAGGCAGTACTATAATAACAGAAGCGATGAAGTAGTTCATATTACTACTGATGAGGTATTTCTAGCTCAAACGCCTAGCTATGCCTTTTGAAAATAATGCATTGGTCACATTACCTGATGGTTTCATCAGATTTTGTTTCCAAGTGCATTTTGAAGTAAAATTGTGCATTCTTAGCCTAAGGTCATGAAGTGGTTGGTTGCAACACATTATTTGGGGATAGCAAAGTCAGTTTCTGTAAGATGAAGAGGGAAAGGTCCTAGTCTTGTCTATAAATACCGGCCTTTTCATCAAACTAATGCTAAGCCTGAAATGCAGATCCACAGATATGCTAGAAATGAAACATTGCACAATACGTTTGATTTCTATTTTATATGCATATTTATTATCAGACTATTTTAGTCTAAATTGGAGAGAGTATAAAAATAAATCTAAATGGATTTGAAAGGCGGGGTATTTCTTTTTTCAAAGCTTCGTCGTTCCTGACTTCCTCTGGTGACTGTTAGCTTATCATGCCTTTGTACAGGAGATCTAAGTATTTCATTCTCTCTTGTGTCTCCATATGGTACCATTTCGCAGATAGTCTTCCTTTGGTCGCAAGATGACAGTGAGAATGGATTGTCAAACTGGACCACTATGACAATTTACTCTGAGGGAGAAAATCCTGTGGGTGTTTAGAAGCTTTACTGTAAGTTATATTTGATTAACTTATCCTACTACTGACAAATAATTAGGTCAGCAATTAATTTCAAAATGCAAATGTGCTACAGGCCTTCATATTTTAAGAAATTCCCTTTGTCTTTAGTTTCTACTTGTGTTAAAGTCTTAATGGATTTAGCTGAATGAAGAAACAAAATTATGTTTTCTAATGCTTTATTTACTTGGTTGAGTTGGACTTTTTCAGCAAATATTGACAGCAAATGTTTGTTCAGAAATGATCATGTGGAATGGAATTTAATGGAGTAAGAAAACAGAAGACTAATTATGAACCACACTTAAAAAAAATATGTATATATATTTATAATATATTTTCACACTTCTGCTGCAAAATATTTATCTACCTTCATGAAATAGGAACAGAAAGACATACCAGAGGCTCAGGAGGAGATCATTTTGGCAAAATCATTAGTACCTGCTTAAGCAGTCTAGGAAACCAGGGTATATCAGAAAAAAAACCCATACCTAACATTGATACAAGTGTGTCCCAAAGAAACTTTTCTACCAGCCTATCTCAGGGACTTTATTATTATACAAATAAAGATTAAAGGCTCAACCCTTCCCAAGAGAAGCTCAAGGGAGTTTTCTGTTAACTTTAAGGGAGGAGGCACCTAAGTCTATGTTTTCTGTGATTAAAATCATGCAATTTTTAAAAAAATATTCAAAATATGCTTCTGCAAACAAACTAACCAACTATCCTGATGTAAAATCTGAATGAATTTACATAGGTGGCAGAATTATATTAGAATTTTCTATGAGTTATTTTGCTCAAATGTGTCAAATCAAGAAGGAGAACAATCGCTCAAAAATTTGGTGAGGGTTTTTCACAAAAATTTTACTGACCTGAAGATGAAAAAAAATTTATGCTGAATGAGGCAAGCCACTTTGGAAGAAATAATGGTTAAAAAAAAAACCACAAGTTTTTGGCTTTCTGGGCGTTTTTGGTTTAAAACTATGCTTTCATATCACATTCGCTTAGATTAGTAATGCAAATAATTACATGAGGAAAAAAAATAGAAAATAAGATAAAACTAAACATTGAATTTTTTAGGGAGTTTTCATATTGGAAGGAAAAGAGAGAGAGAAAGAGAAAAATTGCATGGGGTCAAATGTGTCTCATGTACACAGAAAAATCTTGGTTTCCATTCTCCTCCGAAAGATAACATCCAGGACCCTCTTTCCCTCTTAAGCAGCTCCTGAAGAACTTTGAAGGTTCCACTAGGTAGGAGCAGGCAACACAAGACTGGAGCTTGATTTTGAATGAGGGAGAATCTCTCTTTTTCTTCCCCCAGCGTTGTGGGAAAGAAAATCAGAAGCATATCTGGGTGCCAGAGGGCTGAGCTGTTGGGAGCTGAGCAGACAGAAGCTTTCTTGTAAGATAAGGCAGTGATCGTGCTGCTCAGCTGCACGCTGGCAGGGACCCCATTAAAAAAATCACTTTTCAAAAAAGATACAGCTGCCTTCAAAAGTGTCCGAAGGAGGGGAATGGGAATGATCAGAAATTTGGGAAATCTCACCTACACAGAAATCTGAACTGGGGTGATTTCATCTGGAAAAGAAAATGAGTGGACATAAAATCCAAGGACTTCAAATGTTAAAAGCCTTCTGGGAAGAGGCAGGGAAGAGTTTGTATTTCAGGACTACAGCCAGATGACAGAAAGTGACAGTACTACATTGAAACAAAGGAAAGTCAGGTCAAATGCTGGCAAAAAATTTCTAACAGTGAAAGCTGAAAGCTTCTAACATTGAAGCTGTGGAAATTATTGTTTGTGGAGGGTCTAGAGTCTCCCCCACTGAAGACCTTTGAGAATAGGCTGCGCAAGCTACTTTCCAAAATAATGTGAACATAGTTTTAGCTGACGGCAATTCCTTAGCAGTTATTACATTGATATTTTAATTTATTTTAAGAAGCTGATGGAACTCTTGCTTTTGTGGTACCATTAAAAAAAAACCAAACCCTTTTAAATAAATCTAGGGAAAAAAACACACTATAAATGCCCAGTACAGCTGCCATTATGAGTGAGAGGAATTGCGGACGGGACTTATCTGCTGATAAGTCAGTCATAGAATGGTCTGCATGACCAAAGGTGAGCTCATTCACATAACATAACAAAACAGAACAAAATAAAAATAAAAATAAAAATAAAAATAAAAATAAAAATAAAAATAAAAATAAAAATAAAAATAAACATGTAGAATCTCTCCATGATGAATTAGCTGGCTGGAGTACTATAAAATAAAGCAAGTCAATATGACATACCGTTATCATTAGAATTGGAGTATATGCAGCAGATTTTAGAAGCAGAGTCTCTATGACTGTGACCAAACAGAAAGTACAAAGCAAAGCAATCCCAAACTCTGTTCCAATATCAATAGCAACTTGATATAATAGCACTTTGCCAAAACTACACAGAATACAACCTGTATAATGCAAGTCTGAATGAGAATATTATTTCTTTCAGGTAGTATCTGTATATTTGATGAAAAAATATCATAGAACCATAGAATCACAGAATATGATGAGTTGAAAGCAACCCACAATGACCACTGAGTCCAGCTCCTGTTCCTGTTTAATACCATCCCCAAGAGTCACATCTGTATAACATTTACTTCACTCTTAAATACAAAAGAAGCAAAAAAATGTATCATTTAAAACATATTTTTTTCAAATCAGAATGATCTCTGGAGTCACCTGCATAAGGGTTAAAGTATGTAACAAGGTAAAAAGAATTTTGAAATTTTGTCACACTCTAAAATTAGGACTTTTCACATCATTTCATTAACACATTTGTATCTGTTTAAATTGAAGCATCCACACTAACTATCCTAGCCTTTTACAAAAGCCTTCTTCTGGCTTCCCTTCCCTTGGCTGCTGGTGTGTTAGTGCATTCCCTTTGTCTCAGAAAGGGAGTGGCACATCCCGCCTCCCATGGTCTGTCTTTCTCTCTGTCATCCTTGGGAAAGAAGAGATTTTCCTTATCCTGTAAAATGTTGTCTGAGGATTTCCTTGTGGGGATCAGAGGGGCATTTCCCTTGGGATTGCCAGGCAATGGCTGAGGCCTGATGAGTATTTGTTTCTCCTGTCATCCATTCTGAGGGGCATAATCCCAAGGAAATCTGTGGGGAGTTTTAATATGGACTTTGAAGGCCAGCTACGCCTAAGAACATAAAGGTGATTAAGAAATTATTCTACTGAAGCTTTCCCAACAATCTGGGGCTGGCATTTTTTGAAAAATAAACCAAAATAAAAATGTCTTCCTTTGTTTTTCATGAATATCAGATGAAAAATCTTAGCCTTTTCTTATAGCCTAAACCACATTTGGCACACAACCGAAGGCACAGGTTCCAACCTCAGGTAAACTTATTATGCTAAATCCTCCCAGTGGTGTCATTTGGATCCCAAGCATAGTTTTGAAGTTGGCCTGATTCTTTTCTTATGTGGTTTCAACACCAGTAAGGCTTGTTCACGTATATGGGAATAGTGGTACAGCTATCTTTTTAAAATGAGTGAAATTCACAAGATTTACCAAAAAATGCAAAGTTTAACTTTATGAAGTCTTTACAGAAACATCTTATCTAACATTCTGCTTAGATAAAGTTTTCCCTTTGTAACATAGTATGCATAGTATGGCCTTTTAAAAGGCCTCTTTTTTTATAACAAGGTGCAGTCAGACTCTAGACTGCCTGGCGTCATCTCAGAGCTGTATCCCCTCTGCACCCCACAGCTGCCCCACAATCTCTCCTTGAGCGTGTCCAATCTGCTTGGGCCCTGGACATTTGGCATCCCTTTGTTTCAGGGGCCGGATCTCCAAGCCAAGGAAGCAGATACAGACTCCAAAGGACCCACTGGCTTTCAGATCATGCTCTCAGCAGAGTGAGGATTTTATCACTCTTGAAAATTCTCTTCAGCACTCTACAATCCCCACTTCAAGTGTCATAACCACTTGCTGGCATCAACATCCTCTAACAGCTACCACAGAAGATATTGAAGAGCAACAGAAAGAAGAAAGCTACCTTAAGCCAGATGGCACACTTTAATTTTTTGAGAAATAGTACAACCACACACAAGAGCCAACCAGCACAGGAAAATAGTAGGGAAACAGAGGGGAATTAATTACCTGGAAATCACACACTGGTCTGGGAAGGGAGGTGAGGGGAGAAGCTTTCTTTTCCTTAGAAAACACATATTGCAGCATCTTCATCCTCATAAGAAAAAAACAAGTATGAAACCTTGAGAGTGATTACCTGTGCTGCTCTCTTCCTTACCACCCTACTCAGCCACCCATGACAACAGAGCCAGTTAGAGAGTCCCAGCCGGCAAAAGGATTAAAAAAGAAAAAAGTAAAGTGGAAAAATGCCTCAGGCCCCACACATGTGACTTCACAGCAAAACCTAGAGCCAGCCCTGAGGGGTCTGGTACAGAGAGTGAAGTAATGTGACTGTGATTAGGATGTGTGGAAATTAGAAACCCTCTTGTTTTAAGAAGGCAGGTTATCTACCAAGCCTGCTCTACACTTCTTTCAACTGTAATGTGGTGAACAAAGGCTGTCTGTACAAGATGCTGTATTTTTCTACTCAGCCTATGTCACTTAGAGCTTTTTATGCTAGACTTGTTTTAAAAACTTCAATTTAAAGCAACATGAAAGGTCCTTAAACAGTAAATAGCATATTATATCAAAAACAAATAGATTAAAAAGTGAACAACCATAGCCAGTATATCTCTTTCCAGAGGAGTTTCACTTTCCACACTAACTAAAACTCTAAGACTGGCAGATCTGGGCCAGAGGTTTGTAATGGGCCTTTTACTTTTTTTTTCCTGCCTCTCCAGAGATAAATAATCAGTTTTAGAGAACTGATAAAAAGAGACAAGAATGAAAAGTGAGTGTGACACATTTATGAGAAGGATTTTTCATCTGTTTCTTAAATACAGCACCTTTATTTCAGATTGTATTAAAAAAAGAGATGGGAGAGCCAACCAATTTATGTTGTGCTGCAGTAGTGAATACATATGAATGTACAGAGAACAGCCTGGAAGAGACAGAAAATTCACCCAAAAGTTCCTGACAAGTTGAAAAAAGTTATGTTATCATTCAAGAATCATTTATTTGAGAAAGAAAAATAAAAAACAGGCCACATGACTAAAGGCAGCAGAGAACAAAAACACATTGTTTCCGGACAAATTCCCATCAAAGACATATGACTCGGGAGTCTGAAGTCAAAATATCTTCATATTTTAAATTTCCATGAGCACTTTCAAGAAAAGCTGCAGTTCTGCTAAAGGATTTGCTGCACACTTTTCATTACTGATTGATAGCAAGAAGTGGCATTAGCAGTATTTTTCCCCCATCGTTCCTCTGAAGCTAATGGAGTCAAGGATTCGTTACTTGATCTAATGGCAATAGCTTTCCAATAGACATGCACAGAATCATTGATTAGTTTGTCCTCTTCTTGTTTGCCTTGGAACACTGTTCAATTTACACCAATTAAAGAATGCTTGGTTTGTGTATTGAAGAATAATTAAGGGATGGAATTCCCCATAGGCTACTAAAAATGACATCTGACTAGAATGGTGATTACAGCATGAAGACAGCATTAGTATTTAAATAGTTTGACTGCTATATAAAATCATTACAGCACCTCACCATGAAAAGGAGCATTAGTTAATTTTGCCTATAACAAAATTAGTTGTATGTATTTGCCTGGTCACTTTAAGTAAATTTGACAAGGCTAATTTTAAAGCAAGCGATCCAGGTTTGGTGGAAGGAGCAGCAGATAGAGCACGGTTTAAAGAATCATCTTGATAGATATGTATATAATCTTCAACCAAAAATACACACAAATGAGTAACAAGAGCTTTGTCAGAGATGCTCAAATCAAACGTAAACATTAAAAACACATCGGTTGCTAAAACTGAAAATCCAAGGGTAACTGACATGTTAATTATACAACAATCAAGGTTTCACAAACCATAAACACACAAGAAATCCTTATTTGTCTGCCACTGTGGTTGTCAAACCTTTGCTACTCTTTCTAGCACTGCATGGTAGAAAGAATCATGGGAAGCAAACGGGCACCATGGAAGGAGTCATCCTTACTAGAAAGACTTCCCTGTGAAATATCCCAAATTATTAAAGATATTGGCGTGGCCTAGCCCATCTATATAATGCCTTGTTAGACAAGCTTGGGGTTTTTTTGGATTACAAGGTGGAGGTGAGGTTCATTCCTGAAAATACTGTTGAGGAAAGAGGGCTTTTTATCCTCTGTTTAAATTTCTCCATGCATATTAAATTCTATCTTCTAGCCTTAGATTACAGTATCTACAGCAATGATCTATCCAAAATGTGACAGCAGCATTACTGTAACATATACTGCTTGGGGCCAGTCCTGAAGCATATTTACATTTCCATACACTTAAATTCCATTCCATTACACTTAAATACAGTGTGTTTGTTTTACTAAACTTAGATACTGTAGTATATTTTATAAGGTCATCCGCCTGCCTCAAGACCTCAAATTGCAGCTACTATCCTTCCTATGAGAATTTATGCAGTTTCAATTGAAGGTTGTCAACACTCTCTTTAATTCAGCAAAGGGTTCTCTGTGAAGGAACATAAGACTTTTCCATTTAAGCCTCTAAGGGCATGTAGCCATGCTTATTAGCATGTGTACATTGTGCAATGCTCAACTGTGTCAAAGATGCCCAAGCTCCCAAGCCCACGTTCCAAATGAGGTGATACATCTGCACAGCACAATGTACCTTTATTTACATGGCCCAGAACCTCTGGCCAATCTGCAGTGCCTCTTTGCAGATCAAATTAGTCTTTGGTTGCATGCTGTTCTTGTGAACATGCCTGGTTCTACAGGTCATGAATGGATATCTTCACTGAGTTGTATTCCACCAGATGGGTCTGCCCTAGAATTAGGTTTGGGACAGTACACTTGTTCACATAGTATATCCACTGACTTTTCATGGGGTTTTGTTCCAACATTTAAAAAGTCTTCTGTTCTGGCTTTTGTTTTCAGGTTGGACAAGTAGTTCTTGCTTCTGTACCAGACCTCCTGTTGGGATCTCCCACTATAATCTGCCTGACTAGACCTGGGCTTTCAGGAGTGAGACTAACACTTTTTTTCAATGAATAATATTCTTTTGCAACAGGGCTGATATAAGGGTGTATTCTTCCTTCCACCCACGAGAAGAAAGTCCATTAATTTCAATAGAAACTCTCCATGCAGAAAAGGGAGAACTGTGCCCCAGGGAACATTCACGGAAGATTAATGGTGAGGAGAGAAAAGTGATACAGTACAGGCAGAACAAAATCAGAACCCACCACACAAATAAAACTGGACAAGGGTTCATTTTTTAAAAGTCAGTCAGAAACGGCAGGAAGGCTTTGAAAAAAAAAATCAGGGCTGTTTCAGCACTTTTGCATACATTGGCTTTCAGGACACATGAATAGAAACCTAACAGTAACTCTTTTTTCGTACCTCCTTTCACAAGTCTCACTGGCAAAGAAGGATTTAGCACTTAATTCCTGTACTTTTATGTGGCAAATTAGGAATTTGCACCTTAAAAGGAAATTGCTTTTCAAACTCCCATAAATTCTGGATTCTATTTTTTTAAATGGTGGAAAACATTCCCTACGTTCATCCCAACACATAATAAATAGCACTCTCCATTACTGCTCCTCAGAAAGGTGTAGGAAACTGGACCTGGCCAAAGAGAGGTGTTTATCTTTTCTCCTGAGGAGATGCTAAGAGTCTAGACCCTGTCCTTAACACTTTTGTCTCCTTTGTCCTTTTTAGTTTAGACTAGCATGTTTGCTCTCTTTCTCAAAATCAAGTATCCGTTGAGGAAAGCATTTAACTTGAGACTTGGTTACTTGATGAAGTAGGGCATGCTGGCACTGAATAGTCCAGACCAAAGCTGGAATAAGAACAGAGTCCCAATATGTTTTATTTTTCAGTTTACCATCACCTAAAAATAAACTCCCTACACCGTTTTTTGCATCATTTCAGATAACAACTGCATGATTGGTAACTGCACCAAAGCAGGAGGAAGATGGCAAAGGAGACTGACACAGCATGAGAGCTTGCAGACAGCAGTTGGTGACTCTCCAGCAGGAAGCACTGAAATATGGATGGTAATGCTGATCCCAACACAAGGTCCCATGTCTGGGGCACTTGAGACTGAGGTGGTGCCCACCAGAGTGGGACAAAGAACATGATCAGAGAACCTCTGAAGATCTTTTCTTCATGAGGGCAAGACAAGACTGAAAGACAAGGAAGTGCAGCCCAGTGTTCTCTCACAGTGTGGCACCATGGTTGTCAGCAAAACACCTCTCATTCTGACTGTCGATACAGAAGTGAAGACAAGCTTTCAAAAAGGTTGGTACACACCCTGACTTGTTTTATTTTTGAGTCATTTATGGCCTGGTTTCTTTGTCTCTGCACTTTATAGCATGACAAAAGACACAGGGCAGGTGTTTGGATGGCATCAGTTTTTCTCATTTAATCTATGAGGCACCATAAAAACAGTCGATGAGTATGGAGCATGCTCTGGATGTGTCTAAGAGTAAGTGGCTCTTTACTAACATGTGAATTTAGTAAAGTTAAACTCTGTGGAATGGAGATAAATGACAGCAGCAATTGAAGTTGAATGTGATATAGAAATCCAACTAACTGAAGACTGTCTGGAAACAATTATTCAGAAAGCTGCTGACCCTCTCTTTCTTTAAAGAGTTAAACATTTGGATCAGTTAACTGGCAGCTGCAATAATAGGCATATGCTCTAATCTTTGATCCATAGCTGAATTTTCAACTCTTTGTATGAGAAGCAGATCACATAGATTTGCATATTTTTAAGGATCTATAGGGAGAAAAAGAAGAACAAAACCTGGCTTTCCAAGACACCACTTAGAGATCACACACAGTGTCATGGGTCCTCCCAAGTACACTAATGTTCAGAGCCAGTTGCAAGACTCAAAAATTTAATAAATGGCCCTAAACTGTGACATTTGCATCTGAAGATTAATCAAAATTCCTCCTAGAACAGATTCTTGCAGGTTACATCATAACTCTTCAGAGAGTTATGTACCTCTATCCTTAAGATCCCATTTCCACATCCAAACTTGTGTCAGAACTTTCCTAAAATCTTAAAGAGTCCAGAAGTAATAAATAAATTTAAAAATGCTTTGTAACTAAATGAGAAACTGTTGACTAGACTCAAATTCATGAGCAAGTAAGAGATTTATGCCAAGGTCTTGATATTTTCTTAGATTTGGCAAAACCTTTCAATGTTGATGAAAATTTGCAGAGAGAAGACAACCACGAATCACCCCATGAATGGAATGGATGTAATCAACCAATTTATTTGCATTTAAAGTTCATTTCTTGTTCATCTCTGTTTTCAACACCAACTGAAAGATGTTTCCTAATCATACATTTTGGATCAACCATCGTACCTGTGGCACAGATTTCCTCCATTCAGTAGCAGTTCATCAGGGAGTAGGTCCTACCGAGAGAAGGGAGCAATATTCTGGGTACTGTGAAGAAGTAATCATCCCTGAAAACGTGCTCAATTGTGTGGAATGTTTCAACATAGTCTTTACTTGATTCACACTTTACAATAGGCTTTCCCTCCTGGTTCACCTACACAACAGCCTTTGACATCAATGAAGATGATGAGAGCAGCTGTTTGTTATTTGTCTGTGAATATTTCCTATCATCCCAAGCAAAAGTGCAGACTACTGCATGGGAATATGCAGAAATGTGTGAGACAGGCAATGCAAAGAAGTCATTCTCCAAAAAGCATTCTGTGTAGATTTCTTGTAGTTGCCCACAGTAAGACATATGGGGGCATGGGGGATTTTTAGAAGCCTGACTGACACAGGAGGCAGCACTTCCAGGCACTATCTGTCTTGTCCTATCTGCCTTGTTAAGTCCTGGCAAAAATCGCATGAAGAGGAAAGGAAGGTGTTGCACATTCCTGGGTAAGGTTTAGTAAGGAGCTGGCGCGATGTGATGGTGGGTGTGATCAGACCACTGGCAGGTGAACCAGAATTTGAGCCTTGAACAATAATTTCAGTATCTTATAGAGGGAGAGAATAGAGTAAGAGAATAGCATACAAGTTTTAATGAGAAAAATTGATTGCTGATGCAGAGGTTTTGAGAAGGGACCAGCCTGTGTCCTGACAGCACATACATTCCACACAGTAAACAGATTTCAAAGTTACCCAAAAGCCAAAATAAAGGTTTGCTGCTTTTTGTACCTTTCCAACAGCAGTAGTTGGTACTCTTCTCTCACCAGCATGCCATGTGGCAGGCTTTTCAAGGTGTGGAAGCATTATTAAAATAAAAGGCCAAGTCTTGCCTTGCTTCTTAATTAGGAAGAGCTATCGATCTCTACAGAACTATTCTTTATTGTTTTCTGTGCTTTGTATACCTTTTGGTGTCTCTTCCCAATGGCCTCTGAAAGATTTTTGATCTCCTAGAACGTTACATTTTAGAGCATTGTGTAACCTGCTTGTTTTGTGAGAAGGCAGAGTGCAAAAATTGAGAAATTGCCTTATGTGCTGCATAGTATGATTTCAATTATTTCACTTAGTTATTGCTAACCGTATTTTATAAATGTCAACACATTATATTTGTTCTGCCCATTGAAATTATGCTTTCCAATTAATTCAAATATGTATTCTGATATTTTCTGTCAATATTACAATTGTACAAAATTGGTTATATCAGTTAGGAGAAGCATCTTAAAATTGCCTCCCTGCAATTTATTCTTGGTATCTTAACTTTGTACAGTACTACAAGATCATTTTGCTCATGTGCTAAGTGGGATCCTAGTATATCACTACATTCAGTCAAAATATTGTAAGTTAAAATAAGAATACCTGTAGATTATGAAAATGAGACCAAGAAAGTAGCATTTCTATTTACATAAACAGAAAAACTGGAAATAATTTCAGGAAAAACAGATTAGAATAGGGATATTTGGGAGGCATTTGTCATTATTGTAGACTACAGTGAAAGAAAAATATATATCAAATCAGAATTACTTACCTTGAATTTAAAATGTTAAGAAACCAAGACATTAGCAAAGAGAGAGTATCACCTTAGTGGTTTACTCTGAGGCAATTGCCTACACTCCCTCTTGCCCTCTCCCTCTGAGACAGAAAGAGACTTTACCAGTAACAGAGGCTTATTTTCATATGGCCACATGAGATACCATCCTATAAGGGCCATATGAAATGGTTGAACAGAGGTCTGGAGGTGCTACCCATGACAGACAGGGAAAGAAGAGTTATCTGAGACTAGATAGCTAATTCTAAGACAGCCACAGCAATTTATAAAGAATCCTGGTCTGTACATGAAGTGCCAAATTTTAGAAAACGAAAGACCCAACTAATTTCTAAGGCATTTTCATTTATTACAGACAGATGTGCTAGGGATGAGTATGCCTGTTTGTATCTTGACATAGATTTCATAGGCTGGACTTCAGCTGACAGCTCTGCAGTTATGAATCTTGAGACATATTTCACCTCAATTTAGGAAGTTTTAGGAAGCTCAGGGTCTTTATTCACAAAAGCCTATGAGAAATAGAGCTTTCAGATTTTAATTCTTCATTGGAAATAAGAAAGTTAGTGAAATAAGGATACCCACAATAGGCTTTCTACGGCTTTTCCTTTCAGAAAGCTAGGACAAACTCAACAGCATAAACGCTTTTCGCTTTGATGGATGAAGGTCATGGAAATGATTTCTGATATAGTCTCCATATCTGGGCCTTAGGCAGCTCTAGTGAACATCAATTTCATATCCATACCATATCAAAGGGATGCTTGTCTGTGTCTCAAACCAGACATATATTTCTTTAGTGAATGCAGCACAAATTAAGATAATTTCTTGGGTTTGAATCTATAAACACACCAAGTAATGAGCATCAAAGTTCATTGAAATATATTTTAAGTCACAAAGCTCAGTAGTTTTTGTGAGCATTTTTTTTTCTTAAAACCGACCTTCTTTTGAAATATTGGGACTGAAGGCCAATCTACACTGGCCAGGGAATGAAACAGGACATGGAAAGTATTTGCCCCATTTCTGATGTTCTAGTTCTGTCTTTCAAAATAATTAAAGACTGAATTTGCCATACGGCAGTTTCCATCTTTCTCAAAACAGAAAGGGAGTGGGAAGAAACAGAAATAAAAATATATAAAAGAAAGAGCAGAAAAGAGAAAGGATTGCTCCAGCCTTTCAACTTCCCTTTATGAAAGGCAGAAGACCAAAGGGTTTTCACTTGATGAGGGCCAGACCACGGTTTAGGATATAAACCCCGCTCCTCTTGGGTTGTGGTGCTGAGCACTCATCCTGTCCCTTTGCTGTGACCTGTCAGGGGGTGGATTGCCAAAGCACTAGGGAAGGATTTCCTGCAGGACCAGCTCCTCACCTGAACATCTCTCTAGGGACAGTGCCAGTCTGCATGGGTGAGAATTTAACCCATGTGTGACAGACATAGTGCAAAGGAACGATACTGGGCTTAATAAACCAGTCAAATAAGATGTGCTGGTATTGGCTGTAGTAACCTAAAGAAATATCCTTCAGCAGAACAGCAAGAGAATACCAGTTGAGAGACAAGCCTCACCTGTTGGTGAATACTATTCTTAGCCTGGACTTTGCACAAAAACATTGCAGAAATCCCCACAAAGCCATATACGGTGGGTCAGAAGAGTGCAACAAGCTAGCAGAGGAGTTAAATTAATCTCTTGCATTGTGTCTGCTGCTGAGAGCAGTGTAGAAATTCCTGTGCCAAAGGCACTTTGCAAAGAAAATCAGAGTATGGCCTTTATACAGATTGAAGTCTCTAAGGAGGAAGTTGTAGAGTAACTTGAGAAACTCAAATGCAGTAAATCACCACAACCGGATGGTGTTCATCTGGGAGTTCTGAGGGGAAATAAAGTGAGAAAAAGCCAAGATACTGACAAGACGATGCCTTCTTCCCTTGAAAAATGCAGCAGCACAAGAAGGCTGGGAAGCCCTATTATGTTGCCTGTCTTCAAAAGGAGATGAGGAAAATCCTGGAAATAAAAGAGCTTTGAAGTTTGCCACAGTTTTAGGGAGACCAAAAATACTAGTTCTGAACAACAGCTCAAGAGAGAGCTTGTTGGACAAGAACACCCCATGAAGGTGTCCTTCAGTCTCCCAAACCACTAAGGAAGTTACCAGGGGGGAAAAGTGCACTCAGTTTCTTTGAAAAACCAGTGGAGCAGCCTTCAGAGGAAAAGTGGGATGACAGAGTCTTCTCAGAGAAAGATGACCAAATGATCCAAAGATTCTAAAAGTTATATGGAGGCCAATAATAAGCAATTGTCACAGAGAATATTAAGAAATAAAACTGAGAATAATACTTGATGATGATTCCATCCTGGAATGAACTACAAATCAGTCTGGAAGGAGAGAATATGAGAAGCTTTTCTCTTTCTATTGAGGCAGGGAAAGGTGAACACCCAGCAGTAGGTATCAGGACTAGTGTCATAACAAATAAATGAGTCTGAATCCCAAGATCCAATGCATTCAAATCAGTGTATCCAGAATCCACCCAAGATCTGGATTCACATGTCACACATGTGGTTCCCATCTTAAAAGAGGACAAATCAGTTCCTGGGTTGAAACTCCTGAGGTTTGTGCTCTGAGGTTTGAATACTCCATATTCAAAGGCTTCAGCCTATAAAACAGTTACGTATGAAGTATGGGGGTGGGAGGAGTGCATGTGTACACATAGCATGCAAAGGAAGCAATTAAATGTAAATGCAAAACAATTTAAAAAGTGATCCATGGCAAAAAGTGCTCTGATGCAGAGACTGTAAGTATTTGTTCTTTACATTAACTTGCTGTAGCTAGCTGAAAGAGCACAAGATTACAAATAATGGACAGTGGGAATTTTGCTGGTTTGGTAGCCTATTTACAATCAAACATTTTAAATTATCTGGATTTACATGGCTTTGTACCCTTCCATTTTCTCTCCCAGTTTTTTTTTTTTTTTAGTTCCTGTAGACTAGGCCCAGTGTACTGAAGGCAAAGCATCTCCAGTTTTAATTCGCTTTGTCTCTTGAATCCATTAGATTTTGAAAGCTTTCAAAGGAAGTCACAGGTAGGAATTAGAGAAAATATAGAAAGTGGGACATTTCTGACTAGCTTGTATGTTTCCAGTGTCTAAAAAGAAAGCTTTTTTAAAAGCAAACTGTAGGAGGGTTTGTAAAAATAGATATTTACATTTACATATTGGGACAGATCCTCAGCTGCCATGGAGCAGTATTGCTCCATCCTCTTGAACAGGGCACAGCTGAGAACCTGCCTCTCACACATGCACATACATGTGTGGAATATGTCCAGGATTCTGTATTTTTCCAAGTGTACAGAAATCTGCTTCTCCCTCCAGGTACTTTTGCCTGTGCACTAAGTTGTGGGAGTTACAGCTCCTCTGTTTTTAGCTGAGGGTAGTGTCTTCAGGGAGGCAGGGTGTGAAGGAATGTGGAAGTGTTAGGAGAGGGACGCATGAACAAAGAAACTCAGAGAAGGTGATGGAGAGAAATAGGAAAGAAAATGGTATCCCACGTAGCCATGCTGTGCCAAGCAATGTCGGCATTCACAGCAACAGGGAGTTAAACTGTGACTATGTAGCAACCATGACTTTTGGAAAACACCTCAGGTGTTTCCAGCTAGGTAACAGGAATAGCAGGAGACCTGCTACTGATAGCAAGGTGGAGAAAAAGGAGCTCTGCGCTCAGCTGTGCTGTTGCAGGAGTCACATAACACAGCACAGAGAGTAGGTGTCACATCAGATAGTGCTAATAGGTGCCAACAGCCACCTTCACCCCTTTCCCCTCAGTCTTTCCCTGTGTGAGAGTCAAGTGAATATCAATGTGATACAACTCTGCATGACTGTGTGCTTCTGCCCACACAGTGGGACCCTGGTAGTGATTCAGACTGTACTGGACTTTGGACACATAATGTACACTGAATATCCATAATAAATAATAATTACCACAGTAGGGGGCAGCAGCCAGCTGTGGAGGAAGAGTAGGGCCAGCTGCTGGAAGAGATGTAGGCACTGGCTGAGCATGCAAGCTGGGCACTGGGGAGGGCGAGAGGGCCATGGCTGGGAGCCAGTGGCAGTTTACTGCCAAGAAAAGGGAGATAAAAGCACAAAAGAGTTTCACCAGAGGGAGCTGCTCCTGGCCACCCCTCAGCAATCGGTAGCGGCCCTGATCCAGGAGGGAAGGCTGATGGCAAACAGGAGCATCGCCAGCCTGTGAGCGTGGCCAACACTGCTCACACGTACCATGCTAGAGCTAGCACGACGGGTGTCTGTAAGCCAAGCAAGCCTGCTGCAGGGAAACAGCCCTAAACAGACCTCTGGCTTGCAGGAGACCCATACCTCCTCCAGAAATGAGGACAGACCCATCCTGTTCCCCTCAACATCTCCCCAGATGCACATCCAGCTAGAGCAGAGTCAATACTCCAGAAATGAGTGCAGATCCAAAAAAGACAGATAGACACATGGTCAATGCTTTTCTAAACCCCCCATGCTCAGGTCTCCTTGATTTCATCTACAGAGAAGTGTCCTAGGAGCACTGAAGATCCCCTAACAGCAGGGCTATTTTTTGTCTGAATTCCTCAGAAGGCCTGACACTTAGTGCTTAGGTTCCCCAGGTGGTATGATAAACACAAAACTGCTTTTGAACACACTGCACACACTCAGCAGTCCAGTCATCCAGTAAAACAAAAATTTATCAGAGATTTAAAATATTTTTCTAACCCCTCTGAAAAGTAATTTCAAAGACCAAATCAGCTCACCAGTCTCATTTTCACAAGGACATTCATGGCATGCTCCTCATACACTGGCTTCTAAACAAGAGTCGACAGCATCCCAGGGTCAGCTCCTCTCTTTGTCCCACATGGAATACTCAACTCTTGCACCAGCACAGTGTAACAATTAATTAGCACATGTTCTCTGTAATAATTATAACAATGTGGCACATTTGCCTTGAATTTAGTGTAGTGATATTTATCTTTACTTATATTCATATCTTACCTTCAAACAAGCTTTCTGTGCCTGGTTATTTTTCCCTGACTTTAATTGCAAATAGATAAAACCTGTTTGCTTTTCTCTCCCAAGGAGGAGTATGTGTATTTCCAGATTCTATTCGCATCCACCAGGAAAAGTCACACACAACAACTGAAGCTCAGTTGGGCTTTTTTTTTTTGCTGTGTTCCTGGTTGGTTGAGGATAGGGGGTGTAATATGGGTGATGTTAAAGTAAAGCTGCTTTTCCTCCCTTTCTCAGCATAGCAGATGACAAATTTTTCAGTCCCAGTAAGAAGAAAGGGCTCTCACCTGAATCTCAGTTTATGTAGCCCACAAGAGAGTGAAAAAATTGATAGAGGACAACCCAGGCAAAAAAGGTATGGTATCAGGGAGAAACATCCATCATTTTTGTGGGTAGTAGACAAGCGTAATCCATATGTGAGCTCAAATGCAAATTCATGGGCAACAAAAAGCCTATAGGTTGAACATATCTACAGCTCAAACATTAAGAATCATATTCTTTCTGAATAACTTATTTCTGAACATCTGACCTTAAGAACCAGCCTCAGTTAAGCACTGGCAAACACCAAGATGTGGAAGGAAGTTAGGGGTGTTGCACTACTTTGAAAGCTCTGTTTTGAACCAGCTGTCATTACAAATGTCTGCTGGTACCCCGCCTTAGCGCACAGCCTGTCACGGGTGAGCATAATGAGACTGAGCCAATGGAGTATACTGAACTATGTCTTCTTGCATGTCCCTGTAGCTCAAATTATCCCTTCACACAGCCATAACAGGTAAGCTCTGAACCTACTTATGCCACATTCTAATTGGTTTCATTTAATTTGTGTATATGTCTCTCTGTGTTTGTATATACATATATGCATATTTATATGCACATATGTATATTTGGACATCATTATTAAAAGTAAATATGCATACTGTCACAGATTATTGCTATGCTTGTAAGAGATTCTTAGAGTAATTTGCTTTATTATACAATAAAACCATAGAAATTAATTGCCTTCTTTAGAATAAATAAGAAACACAGGACTCATTGTACCATATATGTTTAATAGTTTGGACATCTCAGTGCCCACATAAAAACAAGGAAACATATATTTCAATAGGCAGTACAATTATTTCAACAAGGAACATCCATCCCACACTCATAGAAATATGAGATTCAGCATCACGAGATTCTAGAATTATGTCATCAGCTGCACGAGTTTCACAGCTTATCTTTATGATTTTATCTTACAGAAGTAAACTCCAACAAAAATGTATAACACTGCCAAATTTAACAGCACATTCATGTTAATACTAGCTGTAAAGATTTCAAAAAGGTGAATAACATCAGCATTTCTATACATATGTGTGCACTTATGTATATATATACATGTATACATGGACATGCACATATAAATGCACACATACGTGTCTGTGCTATGTATATAACCTGTCTTTAGAGATGCCATTATTTTATAAGGTTAATTCCAAGTACGTTAAACTTGAAAACAATGTTCTATACAGTTTACCCATTTAAAGAAATCCCTACAGTTTACCATTTAAAGAAATCCCTGGTGCACAGAAGATCGAGCTAGCTGAGTTCATTAAGCATCATCGGATGAGGCTGCAGGTAGCTGAAACATTCCTTAATAGAAATTTAAAGAGAGCAGATTAAAATTATATTCCTCCAATCCAACAGAACACAAAGGTAAAGACAGTCAATTACAACCAAGATCTCATCTAGCACAAAAGGAGTACTGTAGTTTGTAGATCAGAACTTATTGCCTGAAGTGAACAGCTAGGCTTGTCTCTGTGTATATAATTACTTTCTACAATGTGCTCTTCTAGCACTCAGATGTAGTTATGGAAGATGATTTTTTCCATAATGTTAGTCTGTTATGTTCATGACCAAGAGTTAGATAATCTCAACAGCATCAAAGATGTTTTATCTGTGCTATTCTGTCTTTTTACACTATGAGAAATAAAAAAAAAAATGCCATGTACTTTATTTTTTTAATTCCTAGGTTAACTGTTTTAGTAGTGTTTTGTGGATCAATAACGTGGCACTAAGGAAGCGGTTCAAGTAGGATACCTGTGTGCCTATTCAGAATGCTTGCAGCTTTCCCCTGGACAAAGTGACAAGACACTAAGGGTGCTCAGCTCTAAACCAGATCTGTTGTTAGATCAGAGAAATGCACCACATCTTTAAAATCTCATAACTAAAAAAGCTACTGACAGGGAGTTGTGTGATGAGAAGAAATGAAGAATAACAAGAAGGGTGAAAGGACTGCTACAGTAGGAAAGATTAGGTGAGCTAAATATCTATGAGTTGCCTTAATGCTAACTAAAGACAACATCACACTAGTTAAAAGAGATCAAAGAAGGGAAAGAAGGAAATTTGCAAAGGGACATAAATAGAAGAAATATGATGACGTTAACAACAGGGAAAAACTCCTGACAACAGGATACTCTAGGCAACACAACCTCTCCCTTGAGATATGGCATCACTTAGGAAATTTAATCTAGGTGAAAAAAAACTCACAAAAATATGCCATAAGAAACAACCTCATAGTGTCAGGAAGATGTACTGGATGACCCAAAAGATACATTGCTAATTGGTGTGCACCTGTTATCTGTGATTTTCCTTGCTTGTATGGCCAACTCATCATTACTTGTCTGTATTTGGTTTCTCTGGGTCCCATCCAACTCACACTGCAGTCAACAGAAGTTTCCGACAGGAGCAATAGGACCTCAATGTCTGTTCCAAGTCTTTGCTGTTCTAAAAAGAAGAGGGGAAAAAAGCCCACACAACTTTGCAAGAACTTAATGCATGCGGTGTATGAACCCATATGCAACTGAACCCTTAAATTTTTTTGTATATTTAAACCTGTGTTTATCCTTAGAGATATCTGAGGAAATGTGCATTTGCTTTCACTTGGTGCAGCTAAAATTTTTGCTGGGGAGGAAACTTACAGTTCATCTAAAAATACCTTCTAATGAAAAACTGCTTTGGTCATGGAAGAGTGAAGAAAATTCTCTACACCAAATTAAAAGTAAATTCTATATATATTACACAGAAATGGCAGAGACCTTTCTATTGCTAAAGCAGTAATGCAACTGATTAAAAAAACTAACCATGAATTCTGAACTCAAGACCATAGTTTTCAAATACTTTTACCCAATGTCTTATATATTTATAATAAAATTGTACTTAAAATCCACTTGCTTGCAGGTAGGGAATCACTAGTTTGTGGCAGCTCAGTGTTGGCCCCTTGAGAGACACAAATTTCTGTGCAAGTGGGGCTGAATGTTCAGGGATCAGAGCTGTGTTGGTGCTGTCCATATATCTAGCAGCTGGTATTGTAAATCTTTAGAGCAACGTTTCTGAAAATACTAAACAGACACTTTGGTAGCCAGTATTGAGCCTGTGGCTATACTGCTTCAGGCTGTGATCTTGTCAGGTTTTACAAGATAAGTAGGGTCAGGCAGGGTCACTACTTGGATTGGTAATTCTAAGGAAAGGCAGGAGCTGCCGGAAGTGTCTCAGGTGATAGAATAGCTGTAACCATTTTCCCTGAGCCTTTTCTAATATCCTGATGAAGGCATAATGCCAAGCCATGACACAAGAGCAAGATCCTCACCCTCTGCAGCCATCAAGTGCATCATTTGCAAAGAGATCTTTCCCTGGCCTGGCATGGAAGTCTGAGGTGCAGTATGTGGGAGATGGCAAAATTCAGGTGCTGCATGCACACTTGGTCCTGCATGAACAGCATGTAAATGTTGGGCTCCAGCATGTTTCATCAGGAAGGGGGTAGAGGTGAATGCCCTTTCTGACATTTTTGGGAATGCCAGTAGCTCCAAATTAGGTTTTGTCCATGTCTATAAAGCAAAAGACAAGCCTATTGAGTGAAGATCCTATACACTAACTTTCAGCCTCACACACTTCTACAGAAAGTATAGAAATACATATAGATAATGAAATCCTTGCCCAATGGTCTACATTGCCAAGAATTTTAAATTGCAAGTTAACCAATTTCTCCTCTAAAGTTCAAACAATAAATAAAATTCTATGTGAAAAATGGAGCCTTTTATTCCTTTGTTAAAATCTGATCAGAGTAAACTACAGATGTTAAAAGGCATTGTAGTTCAAAGAATTAAAAGAATCTTACAGGGTTTGTACAAAGAAAAGAGTTTTAGAGAATAATATGGAAAATATTATAATGCTATTATATAAATCAGTGGCACATCCTCACTTTGAATACTGTCTTCAAATTTGGTCACCTCATCCCTGAAAAAAGAAAGTAGAAATAGAACAAGTCCAGAGAATGGTAATAAAAATGATAAAAGTCAAAAGGATGGGAAATTTCTTGAGAAAAGAGAAAGAACATAAGCAGTGCCTTGTCTCTCAGGAAAAATATATTCTCATGGGTCATTCATAGATATGGCTCTTAGGGACATGGTTTAGTGGTGACTTTGGCAGTGGTAGGTTAATGTTTGGACGTGATCTTAGAGATCTATGATTCAAATCATACTGAACTGAACAAAGCCTCTCCATAAACTTAGACCGCATGCTGTTGTCTCAGACAATCTAGAAAATGTCCTTGGACCCCAGCAGTTCTGGAAAGCTCTGGGACCTTTCATGAACCAGATATTGTAGGTATTTTCCTCAGTGTACCCTGTTGTTTTAAAGAACTTTCAGCCACTGGAGGCCAATCTGACTCATGGACAGTGGACAGGACATAGAGCTACATATTAGAAACACTTTTCCTTTGTTAAATCATACGATCATAGAATGGCTAGGGTTGAAAGGGACCTTAAAGATCATCTAATTCTGATCCCACCACCATAAGCAGTAATACCTTCCATTAGAGCAGGTTACTCAGAGTCCCTTATAACCTAGCCTTGAGCATTTCCAAGGGTGAGGCGTCCCACATCTCTGAACAACATGTTCCAGTGCCTTACTTAGAAACTCTTATAGTAAAGAGTTTCATCATAATATCTAATCTAAATCTATTCTTCTTCCTCTTATGGCCATTGTCCCTTGTCCTGTCACTTCATGCACTTGTGAAAAGTCCTTTCCAAGGAACTTGACTACACTCCTAACTAATTTTTTGGGTCTAACTTTTAGAAATTTCACTTTTCCCTACCTTTCTCTTCTGAAAGGCATAGGTGGTTGAGAGATAACAATCCATTGACTTTACTGGCAGCTTTTTTAGTTTAATCACTCATGTTCCTTGAAAATGTGCCATGTGTCTATTAAAACAGTCTCAGTCCCAAAGGGCTTGCACAGTCTCCCTCACTTTGTGTGATGGGATCCCCAGGCTTCGTCATAGTTCTACTTAAGCATGACTATAATATAAATAACATTTTGTCCTCAGAATCTTTGAACTTAATTAGCAGCAGAGGAAAAAGTCTTTCCTATCCTGCAAGGTGATACAATAAGGTATTGAATTTTAAATGGATGAAAGTAATTGCTTTTCCAAACAATGTACAGCTAATTAATGGAACTTGCTATCACATGGTTAGTACTGAGAGAAACAGCATCATATTTGTAAATGAGAAGTCAATCTTAGGCATAAAAGCAAATCTTCACACAAAGCTCAGGTTGGGTTAAATTCAGTTGAAAGCATTATGCAGAAGATCAGATTAGATTATAATAATGGTTGCTTGTAGCCTTAAAAAATCTGTGTTTTACTAGCTACTACTATACAATGATGTCCAATCATCCCAGCAGTTCATGGTATGTGCCAATCAATAGGCAGTGTCAGGACAACACCTTCACACATGGTAAACCACCACACTGGGCCTTCAGAGAGTCAGGAAAGTCCAGGAGGCTTTTCAAAGTGGTGACTGTCTCATCTCTTTCTAGAGTGGGACAAATCCTTTCTCCTCCAGCCCTGTATGGGAACCTTGGAGGCATCAGTCATACTCATGCTAGCATGGTGGGTCTTCAGCTCTGTCTGCAGGTCTGCAGGAATAAGATGACCAAGTCCAACAAGGTAAAAAGGGCAAAAAAGGTTTGGAGGAAGGTGAGGACATCAAAAGGTCAATGGCTGCAATTAACTGTATCTCATGACTGGTGTGACAGCACACACTGGAGTCCCAGTGCCACATTATCCAGACCTGCATCCCTTCCATCCCCATCCAAAGCCAGAACCACCCACAGGAACCTGTGGAAGCAGAAGGTCCAACCTCGGATGCCCATGGTTGAGTTGTATCATTGAACCTTGGAACGGGACAACATTCCCCATGGACAAGTGTGTTCTATGATGTTTCTGGCACTCTTTTCTACTTGAGATATCCTAAGGTGGGAGCAGAACCAGGAGATCTCATTTGTCCTTATTGCCTTATCTCATATTACCTTACTGTGGTGGGGCATGATAGATACCCGATTCATCTCTGAACTGTTAACAATATGTTCATGTTGGCAAGGTACCAAGAGAATAGAGGCACTTTTTGACATGATTGCACTTACCTACAACTTCAGTCATCTTACGGGCCCCCCACGAAATCAAGGAGGATGTCTTCTAGTGAATAGCTGTGCTGGGGTCATTTCAGTTAAGGGAAGTTGTTTCAGCCTTGTGGGTTCAAAAAGTTATCTCCTGGGGGGAAAAGAAAACAAAAAAAATTAAAAGGGGCAAATCAGCACCTTACACTGGTAGTTTTATACCATCAAGGTGTTCTTTTATATAAAGTCAAAGAATACACATAAAGTAAGCACAAAATGCTCATGCAGTTGCTCTTCCAGGATGTTTGTAATGGCAAGCTAGATTGTAAATTATTTCTTTAGAGGCCAGAAAGCACAGTGGAAATAATGTATATTATTCATAAAAATGATTGTCCTGTTCACTTGTATACCTCTGCAATTTATTCTGTAACAGCTTTTTACTTCAAAGAAATCACTAGCTAATGACATCTCAAACTTAAAAAAATCCACTTATTCACAACCCTGCCCCTGAGGGAATTCCTGCATGTTATCAGAAATTTTTCCAAAGATCATTAACAGATATTACAAACCAATTGAAACTGAGTATTTTCTTTGCAAATTACTTTTAACTTTAGAGCTATTGAAAAAAGACATTGAGTGATTTAATTTACTTAATCTGTCTACAGATTGCAGCTATGTGCATATCCTGTGATTGCATTTCCAACAAAAAGCATATATAACTATCCCTAATAGGGATATTTTTCTAAATTATCGTACAAGATCAGTAAGATCTCTGCAGATATTAATGTTTACTTTTTCATTTAGAAAATTGCACTCAAAAAAGAAATGGGCATCTTTATTCTGTTGTTATTTTAGAAGTAATAGCACACTATAATACTTATTTTACCTGCTATTTTAATTAAAACTCCAATAATCATCATATCCTTTGAGGATATGTTCTACTGATTTTTCTGAAAAACCACTGTATTTTCATTTGGCTTTGAAGACAGTGTTTTAGAAACACCTTACACAGCAATGAGTATACCAAAAGAGATCCTCTGTCTTGCATCAATCCAAAACACCAAGCTAATTCAGCAGTGGAGGGCTGGAGATCGTATTCTGTACCTCATTGCCTTAAACTCCTCCCAGAGAACCATACATGTGTCAGCATCACTTTTGCAGGAAGTATGAAAAACCTCTAACCTCATGAATATTTAGCATGCAGCTTCCTACCTAAGGTTCCTGCTCTCTCTGCAGATGAGAGATAAGGGCTTGAAGCCCCTGAAGCTTGGGTGGAGTTTGAAGTTAATGCCTTTGAATGACGGTGAACACAGCTGCTGTACTTTGTGTACTGCTCAGCCCTGATCACGTGTTACATGTGCTTTACCACGACACTCTTGGAAGACATATGGGTGAAGCAGTGGATGGTTTGAGGAGATGAATCAGGATTAACTGCTGGGAAGTTCAACTTAGCTGAGCTGGTGACTGACGAAGAGACATGAGCAGAAAAAAGGTTTTAGATGTCTTAAGAACATTCTTATCAAAAATGCAGGTGATAAAAAATGCAAAGAATGTGTAGATAGGGAAATTGGACTTGGACATCTATATCCCACACGAGTCTCAGTCATCCCCTTTCATGGCCTTAGGCCCAAAGATAATTATTCAGAGAAGGACCCAGATTTTCACAGCAAATGATGCATAAACATCTTTTCATATCTTGCTTTGAGTGGTGGGAGAAATGGCAGGAAGGGTAACAGAGAATTTGCAGGTGGTAGTGCCTTCCTTGGATAGTCTACATCTTCCTATCAGTTGGGTCAGAGGTCTGCAACCAATCTAAAAATATCTCCATTCCCAGTACTCTCTTGCTATTTTCCTTTCCTTTCCTACAAAGAAAGAGCTCACAATTAAATCAATTTCTTTTTTTCACAGTGCATCAAAATATATGGGGTCAGTTAAGCTAATTTCCAAACTCTGTCAAGAGCTGAAAAAATTACTCCCTGAGCTACCTGATGTCCAATTTTGTCCAGTAAATATTAAGAATCCATAAATCTTTACAAAGGTCCCATGCCATTAGCTGTTCCTGCCACCATCCTGTGGAGGTAGGTAGGCATGAGAAAGAGGGACTGGCTGCTACTGAGCAATATCTGGGCAGGTTACTGGCCTGGTTTTAACCCACACAGCACTCAGAGAAGTGCAAAGGGAGGATGCCTTTTTCCCTGAAAAAATTGCAGCCTCTCATTCCTGCTCTTCATTCACTCCCATGACCTGCTCAAGACACTTTTCTAGTCATGGTCCAAACCTCTAGTTTACAGCCATAATAGCACTGAGACTGTCAGTAGCTGTCTCTGTGAAATTCAACTGCTTTTCAGGATCCCCTGCTTTTAAATGTGTTTTCCTCACCCTTCTGCCACACACTTGCAACTGGCATTACAGTGTCAGATCAGATGGCACACATGGAAAGCCAGAGCCTCAACACATTTGCTAGTGGCTTTTGCTTCTCTAGCAGTGCAATGTCTTGTGCATATCCAGCTTCAGGGACAAGTCAGTTCAGCACTCTATCCTCCCTGTCTTCCCTGCCTGCTATCCTCCTCCCAGGAGTCCTGTGTTGTTTGTGCTTTACTACAACCACATGCCTGGTGCTCTGGTCTCTGTCTGCAGCTCCTTCTACTTGGAGACTGGTGACAGAAGCCACCAGCGTGCCTCCATCAGGGGTGACCCGGCCTTTCCACCTGCCAGCATCGGGCGCTGTGCCATCAGCTGCCAAACTGGCACAGCTCCACCGGCTGCAGCAGCTGAGCGCTTCTCTTGTCACTCAACCCAGGACATCTCCACGGAGTCTGATAACACATCTGCTAATTAATGCCAGTTGTGATCATTGGTCAGATCCTCAACTGGGTTAAATTGAAACGGGTCCATTTAAGCCTGTGACAATTAGCAGCAGCTTAGAGCTGACCCGATGGTTTTCTCTATGACGTGAATATGTGTCTTGTTCTAAGTCAGTAAAACCCACCAACAAATTGCATAAAAACTACCAAATGATCAGAAAATGAAATGAGTGTTAGTAACTCCAAGCCAAGGCCAAACTACAATGGTGGCAAAGTGATAGCCCCAGCTATGTTAACAACTTTCTGAGCCATTCAAGTTTGTTATAATAAAAATAATTAATAATAAGAGATGTGCTTCTGGACACATTCACCTTTCTGTAAAGAAAGCCTAACGAGTCTGTCTTTTAAAAAACAGACTATCAGAAAATTTAAGTGTGATTCTATTAACTTGTAAGCATAGTGTTTTACATTTTAACAATAGAACAGATCAAATCTATTGTTGAATTCAGATTTTAAGATTTATAAAGCAGCACTAGTAAGTGGAAAGGAACAGTTCAAGAATTTTCTTTGTATTTTGTTTCTGCCCTTTGTCAAAATTTTATTGCAGTCAATACTTCCACCCTGTTAGGTTGTATTACCAGTTCTCTCAACCATAACAAGCAGAGTTGTAGAAGGTATTAAATCTTAAACAGAGGTAAGTAAGGTACTCCTGGAAATAAAGCAAAAGTTTGATAGGTTGTGTCAAAAGGAACTGCAGCTATTATTATAATTTATTATTTGTTAAGCACTGACAATGTGCTCAGTTCTGCTGATTAAGTTTTTCTGAGCAAGTTCTACTGATTATCTTCTGAGGACAACACACTGTACTACAAAGAAGATATGTGACAGCTATCAAGACTTTTTCTTTCAAGACTCACTTAGCAAAACAATTACATGCCAGTTATGCAGGTTTTATGGAAAAAAAAGAGAGAAAATGCATAAACTGAGTAAATATCATGACTTTTGTGTTCACTAATTTTCCTACTCCAGATCTCTCACTTCAGCACTGTCTGACAATCTCAAAGTTACAGTGAGATTTGAGGAAGATCTAAAGCCTCATCCCTACTTATATTCAGTTATAAGCATCATGTTATATTAGAGGCATGCACACAGGCTGTATTGTTAGAATCTGTCTTTGGATCTGGGACTCACTCCCCAGCAAGGGCAGAGATGGCTGAATGGGGCCAGCCAGAGACAGACAAAAATCAGAACAACTCCAGTCTCACACATGCATTTCCTTCATGCCACAAAGCAGATCAGACTGAGCTAGCCCGTGCTCTACCCGTAGGTGGTGATCTGACATTTGGGGTGCAGGTGCCTCAAGGGAGCCTTCCTATCCTTGCTAGGCTCTCAGGGCTGTTTCTCTAACAGACCTATTGTTAAGTTTCTCCAGCCTGAGCTATAGGCACGTTTTTGCATGGCATCTAGGAGTCAGGGATGTTTGGTTTTTGCTGATCTAGAGGCACTGCAGATATTCTATTCCTGTTAACTCTGTGCCTGGTTTATATCTACTTTAGCATGTAAAGAAATCACAGTTTCTCCCTTCACCTTTACCCTCAGATCATTTATGTACAGTTTACCTCCAGGGTGGAAGATTCCCCAAAACAGGCATTTGATGGCAAAATAATGTCCATGCATCTGTGTATGCACAGCAAGGGACATGGCTGAGACTGCTCTAAGAACCTCTGGCCAAATTTGCGTGTCAGGAGGGTGCCAAACAGACATTGTCCCTTGCCCCAGCCAGGCAACACCTAGGCTTTCAAACCACAGCACTGCCAGGGTTCCAGCTGTGCAGATGTTCTTAGAAGAAAAACTCCCTTTTGTCTGCTTCTATCCTTTAGCCTGCACACTTCCCTAAATCCTGCCAGCATGCTTTTTTTTTTTTTTTTGTAACTGACAGAGAGAAGTGAGTTCTTATATAAATCTTTTGTGTGAAGATCAAACTGCGCACATGTAGAACTATTTTTTTTTTTAGGGAAAAATCTGCCCTAAAATAATCATTCCATGTTATCCTCACAGAGCGTCTGCACTGCCTTTTAAAACGCATCCAAGGCCACCCTCAAGAGCAGACTCAAAGCTGTCAGCTGCAGCTGAAGTCTCCGTGTGTGCAGGGAGGGCAGAGCGTGGGCAGCCTGGGGCAGCACTGGGGTCAGGGGCAATGCAGCTGGAAGGGACCGTAATCTGAGTTGCTCCTTGCAGACAAAGTCAGCCTTTGTACTGATGGAAACTTGTGGGGCAACTCGGGAGCCGAGCTGGGTCATGTGAAAAAGGTGTTTCTTTACCTAGCCAGCCTGGACTCCTCAAACATCCAGCTGGCAGAGCCTGAGGTTTCAGTCAAATCTTGTAAGTTAACATTAGTTTACTAATAGACTGAGAAGCAAAGGATTTGGCCCTTCATAGCCTTTCATTCACAAACTCAGAAACTTTTGTAATGGAGAGGAAAATCAGCAAAAATGATCGCCTGATAACAGTACTATTGGGAAATTCTTTCTAAAAAAAGAAAATACTACAGAAGATAGACCCAAATGGCAGTACACCAGCAGTTTTAGAGTCAATTTCAGTGCTGTTTTGTGTTTCTCTGTTTACAATTTAATTACCAGCTAGAAAAATGATCAGATATTAGGTATAGTGAAGCCCCCATGTGTGACACCAAGTAGTAGCACAACTCACTGTAGCAGCTTATCTTTGGGAGGCCTCCCTCTCTCCCTTTTTCACTATTTCTCTTCATCTTGCTTCCTTCTTATGCTCCCAATTTCCTTAAATACAATATAGTCAGAGTTTTACATTCAGCTTTAATTTTTCCAGGAGGGACAGCCCTTAAAAAGCAGCACATTTTACTCAGGACCATAAAAAGGGACTTGCACTCCAGTGCAGCCATCTAATAGACAGATGAACCAATTCCATTAATATAAAAACATTCTACCTGTGCCCTTCCCCCAGCAAAGCTTTTGCCAAAACTGGAACAAAACCTTAATCTAGCCTTTATTAAAGTGGAGAAAAATCAACTTCCTTTCACTCTCCCACTCATTTTCCACCGCTGTGATTTTCTAAATTTCAGGCAGGCCTGTGACCAAGAGCTACAGGGCCAAAACGGCTGGGTGTGCTGTATTCCTGGCCCAAATGGAAGCAGGAAATACTAAACATCTTGCATGGAAGCCTGTTCTCATCAGGTTTATAGCCCAGCTTTTTTCATCAAAAGCAGTGAGGATAGTACACAGTTCAGAAATGCATCCAAGCATATGGGAGTCTCTCTACACTAATCCTCCTTTTGAGTTTCATCCAGCACTAAATCAGAGCCACACCGGAGAGAGAAATAATGCAATAGCTTGTGGAAAATACATGGCTCCTCTCTGTTAGGGTATGGAAAATCAATCATGACTCACTTTTCTCCTTAAAAATTGTTGGAGGAATATTAACAGCATAAAGCATGACAGAGATTGGAAAAGAACAAAAGTCAGATACCTTTTAAACTTGCCTGCCCTGGGATTATACATCCGGGCAGCCTTTGCTGGGACAGCAACAACAATCTTGGAAGAGTAACAGGGTAATGACACAGGTGACAAAACTCACCTGAGAGGCTAAGAAAACACCTCTTTGCAGAGTTAACCTGCAATGCTCACAGCATTGCAACTGCAGCCACCACTTTGAGAGGTCCCCGAGAGCATCACTGCTGGAATTCTGGGGAAGAAGGGCTGCACAGTCTTATTTTCCCAGACAGAATACAGAGCTCTCTGTCTGGGGGAGAGAAAGGGCTTTGCTGAGCTCATCCAAGGACAAGAGAGCCCTATGGCTGCACCAAGGCCCAAAGAGTGTGCTGTCAGCGCTGCCTTGGACATGGGAGCAGAAGAGGCAGAGTGCTGACACCCCACTCTCCACCACAGCTTCTGGCCTCACCTACTGAAAGCAAAAACAGAAAAAGCAATAAGAAGGAGACCTACACCGACTTCTCGAGATACTGTAGCAGGGAAGCACAGGCTGACCAGGCCTTGAGCCCTCCATTCCTTTTTCCGTATGTCAAAAGTAAAAAAAAAATCAAAGTACAGCCCTGATCCACAGGCTCCAAACGCCACTCTCTGGACCTCTGACAGGTGACAGAAATAAAAGTTTTAACAGAGCTTGCTCCAGGAGTGCTGATGTGTAAGGGAGCTGAAAAAGAGCTGTCAGCTGACAAAATTCTGTGGGTAGTTAAGGATACAAGTTAGGAGAGGCATTGGCTATGTAATTAGCAACAGGAAAAATAAATGCAGCTCCAAGCACACAAGCAGGTACACGTGCAGAGCCAACTTGGAACTTGTGAACAGCCTATTGTTTCCATACATAAGGATTTGCAAACAGCCTATTGTTTCCATACATAAACATCTTTGAACTTGAATTTTTCTTGATCACATTTATTGCCTTTTCCTGATTAAAAGGAAATGACAGAAATCCCTTTTTTTTTCTTAATTTTCTAAAAGAATGAAATCAGTATTTGACTTCTAGCTCTTGAAAATTATTGACCAGAATCTTGTTTGGCATAACTCAGCCTCGTTATCATAGAATCATAGTTATCACAGAATTCTAGAATCACAGAATTGTTTGGGTTGGAAGGGACTTCAAAGACCATCTAGTCCAACCCCTCTGCCCTGCACAGGGGCACTTTCCACTAGACCAGTTTGCCCAAAGTCCCATCTAACTTGGGCTTAAACAATTCCAGAGATAGGGTATCCACAGCTTCTCTGGACAACTTGTTTCAGTGCCTCGCCAGCTTCTCAGTGAAGGATTTCTTCCTAATATCTAATCTAAACATACCCTCTTTCAGTTCAAAACTAAATTGTCATCTACAAAGCAGAGCATCTTTACTGAGGCTTAAGATTTTCTCCCATATGCTGTTTCTTTAGAACAACTTGTCTTCCTCTTTTTCTTTTTTTCCTTTTTTTCACAATATGCATCTGGTTTAAGGTGACTTTTTCTTTCCCAGCATATGGAGCAGAATGATTATGATGATTTAGATTTATTTTAAATCACAGCCTATTAAATGGAAAAATAAATGCTAATATGTTGATATTGTTTACTTCTGAATGAATTATTGATACGAATGAGTAGTTGCTTCTATCATAACCACTCTTTATTAAATGACTATATTTTGAATTAGAGCTCCTTAATTAAGAAATCACATTTTTTCCTGAAAATTCTTTCCCTGTTGCTAGTATAAAAAATACCTTACATTACTCTATGGAGAAAAAAATAGGCCGGTGAAATTATTCTATTTTTTATCTTTTCCTTTGCTTTGTGAATTTGGCAGTGCTTTGTGCATATTCCCTTTCACTGCTTCTCTCCTCTAATCAGTTAAGTGAGGCTCTTTCCCCTCTGTTGTTTGTGTGGATCTGTCACATAGCACCTAGAGACAGAAAAAACCATTTTAAGTAGGAAAATGCAAAACAAAAAAACTAAAGGATTGAGGATCAGATACCTGAAACTCCTCTCAACATTTTCTTTCAAGCTGAGCACGTTTCAGATTAATAGTGACTCTTTAACATAAATAATGATCTAATGAAATAAATATGAAATAGAAAGAATCATAAAAAGAATTTTACATTTAAGAATGCCATCTGTGTAACACTTAGCCTAACAATGAAATCATTTCAGTGCCAAAACAGCTCACTCTGCTTCCAGCACAAGTTATAGGAGAAGGTAATGGCTTTGTAAAATGGCATAAAAGTCTGAGCTCAATCACAGAAGGAACACCTGGGTTCAAACTCACTCTGCTTCACACAGACAATGGGTCTCACACATGAGTTTTGAGCTCACCCCTGCTAATGTTTCCACCTCGAGTCATCACGAATTTTTCACAAAGCTGACGATTTTTATTGCAAGGATATAAGATTTTGTGGGTCAGGGTGAGGGAATCTTGCAACAACTGATTCTCTGCTTTCCAGCTGTGGAATCCAGAGTCGGTATTGTCTGACTGAAGTGCACAGGACTCAGAAACAAGACCCTGTATAAGTACATCTGTCACAAGAAAAATTCCCTCATTCCCTCACCTAGGACTTAACACCAGACCAGCAGGCAGTTTGGGACCGGTGTCCTAAGCTGCAGGTCTGTCTGAGCACGCACCGCATTGCAGAACAGAGATGCTGTTTTTGTGAACAGGGAAGCCAAGCTCTTGCCATGTGCAAGGCGGCGCAGCAGAGCCATGCAGAACACAATGGAGATTGTTTGTTTATACCAGCCAAAGAGAAGGGAACATATTTGTTTTGAGTGAGCTATGTTAGAATACATATTGTTGTATATGCCCAGGCCTCATTACGCCATGCTAGTCTTCAATATGGATCAGATCCTAAAACTGCTCGACATACTGAAATAAATGTGAGTTCTACCCACAGAACATCTCCAGACTTAGGCCTCATGTCTGTCAATGTCATCTCAAAAAAACAAATGTTCAAAGAAGAAAAACAACAAAAGTATCTTAGAGACTGTGGAGGATGCTCACGTGTGGTAGATGCCATTCAAGGGTATGCTAAGGAATTACTTGGAGAGAGAGAAATCCTCATACCAAGACTGGAGAAAAGAGTGGGCCTGAAAAAAAGGAGAGAGAATTAAGTTTCATGAAATAAATATTTCTTATTTGTATTTCAGAAGTTACTGTGAAAGCAAAAGGAAATTCTTCCTTCACATCAGCAATGAGGCCGCATTAACATCTCCTCAGGCAAAGGTGGCCACAGCTCAAATTTTGCTTAAAGATATAATCGTGAGGGCATTCACAGAGGAAGAGTTAAAGTGCTGTTCAGTAAACAACCTGAAGTGCTGTATGCTGTATTCATATAAGGAAAGGTATGAGCCAACGGAGAGAGATGTTCAGCTGCAATCAAAGAGGATCTAAGCCTAACTGAGCGCTCACATGACAGTTGGGATCATTTCGGATCCCTTCCAATGAAGATAAAATAGCATCAAAAGCAGAGGGGTTTTTTTTTCTTTCTTTTAAGGATGAAAACACAACATCATTAGTCAAATTTACTCTGAACTTCCACCTCCTCATGTTGATTTGTACTCAGGTTCGGTAAACATATCTTTCCATCAAGGTAAATAAATGTAAAAGCCCATCAGTAACTTAATTGCTTAACGATGGATGCAGTGTGGGGTGTAACACTGTTTCTGACTATACTGTTCAAGCTAACGACCTCTCAAAAACACCTATTATACAGCTTGGCAGTAAAAAAAAAATCTGTTCCTTCTTGGAAATCTGCTTATAAAATTTCAACCTTTTTTCCTTATGTTGGGGACGGAGTGGAAACCTCTGAGGACAATTTTTCAGGTGGACTGATGTAAAATGGAGTTTATTCATTTGAGATGCCATCCTTTGTGGGCCTGCATGACCCAGGGAAATTAGGCTCAAGAGAAGTGGGGAATCCACAGTGAGGGCAAAAGTTACACAGCCTGGGGAAAACATCTCCAAATTAAAATGCTCATGGTTCTGAGTGGGACCATTTGCTGGGAGGGCTAGAGGGCTGGGTCTGCAGATGTCAGGAAGAAGCCTGATCCCGCATGCGTAGCACACACCTAGGGACATCTGGAAATGTGCCCTCCTCCTCTGTCCTTGCACACCTAGAGCACAGGATTGAGGACCCATGAGAGAAAGCAGTTGTTCCCATTAAAACCAAGGCGTTTAATAGAGGTGAAGGCAAAATCAGCTCTCCAGTGAGAGAACAGTGAGGGAGGAGGGCATGCCAAGCATCTGAGAGTGAAATCTGGCTCACGGTGGGCAGGCAGGCACAGTGCAGAGGCACAGCTGCCAGCCTGACATGATGGATCAGAAAAGCTACTAAGGAGCTGTGAGAGTCCGGGCAATTGAAACAAAGCAAAACATGAAAAGGCAATAGGTCAGACCTTCTTTGCAATCTATCAATTAAACAAGCATCCACTTCCAAAGGAGTGTGATGTCCTAAGCAGTAGACATCCCAGCACGTGATTGCTACTGTGATGGAGAGACAGGCTTACCAAAAGGAATTAATAATAATAATTACTAGTAGTGCTAATAATTTAGTTGAAGTTGTTCTTTAGTGAACCCCTCTGAGGAAATAACATGGTTGGGCATTTTGGCTTAATTCTATAGTCCCATACCAGCTTTACTCAGCCTGTTGAAAAACAAAGGTGTGTTCAAATCTGTCCATTACATGGGAGGCTTGTGCCAAAATCTTGCCCTCCTTCAGTTAGGCAACAGTGGTGAGTGCCACAGAGTTGGCTTCAGCTGCTTTCTCCAAAAACCCTGAAGCTTTCAGAAACATTCATTTCTGCTGGCATCATTCAACTGCTCATTGTTAGGATTTGTACTCATTGGCATGCATGAACTGAGACTGATGTACAGGGTGATCCAGAGTGACAGCCTTCAGCCCCAAAAGCGGATACCTGCTTCCCTTAGAGTTCAGCGACTCACACTTGACTCAGAAGGATATATACAAAAATTATCTTTCCTCTCTCATTCATGTGTGCTAAAGCTAAGTGTGTTAAGCCAAATTAGCAATCAGGCAAACTGTGCATGCAGAAATCTGCACTTGTACAAACTGTGCATTTTTTTTGTAACATTCCAAGATTAAATATCTTGACAAAAGATGAAAACCCTTTAACAAATTTGCCCCTAGAGAAAAGTAACATTTTTTTATTCCATTTACTGTCAAACAACATACAGTTGAACACAGTCCTATAGGTTGATTTGTTGCTTTAAATAATGTCACTAACATCCAGATATCAATGTGATGGTGCAGAAAAAAGTTCACATTGAGCTAGATTCAATTACAGACCTAGAAATTGAAATTAAGTCTGATGCTACATGCTTAATTCATGTTTGTGTGACTGAGAAAAGGAGTATCTGGTTTACCTTGAATTTCCTGCCTTAGTGTGGTGAAAACATGACCCATCGCATTAATTAAAAAATAGTTTACAAATGTAACTTAAGTGGTATTGCACTGGCAGGAGGAGACAAACACCTTTTTGTCCTTGACATGTTATGTGATATAAAGGAAGCTGTTCAATAGCCTTTTCGTCGATTCCAAGGTAGGTCTTACAATTCCCACTGAAGAACAGGAACAAAGGTGTGATGACACTCCTCAATGAGAAGCCAAAGATTGTGCTTTACTTTAAAAAAAAATGTAAGCATTTATCCCTCAAAACCCATAACCCTCTTCTGACCACACCGTTTATACAGGTGCCTATAGGTAGCTGTCACATATGTAATGGAAGTCTATATTTATCTAATTTGAGCATTTTACCCAGGTTGGTATTTTCATGTTTAATACCCCAAAATACCATATCACAGCAATGGACTTTCAACCAGCACACATTTGACTACTGATTTCACATATGCGGCTGGGACTAACTTTTCTCCTAATATGGTGATGGCACAGGCACTATTTAAATGATTCCTGAGCCTTGTAAATATACACCAGATGTATCTTTTGTAAATGTTACATTTTTCAACATCTCAGCATTTGTGAATAGTTGAAAGCGATGCCAGCCATGCTTTAATGGGGCACAGAAGCGTACTGCATTCAAAGAAATGGCACACCATTGCAATAGTCAAAATTACAAGTGCTGTCAAAAAGCTACATTTTTGCTTTATTGATTAGCACCAGGTAACACAGTGCTTCACATAATACCTTCATACATGCCTCTTTCAGCTGATGATGTTTCCCTGCACATGGGAAACACAGAGAGGGATATGGAACTTCTAGGGCTGCCCTGGGGAAGGAGAAGGGCAGAGTGGCCGGGAGAGTCACATGAGGCCAGAGGTGGGGGCAGAAGGGCTGTGGGAGCTGCCACTCCCACAGCCATGGTCACAACCCACGGCCATAAGGACATGCCCACCATCCCAGAGCTGGGGAAGGAACAAAGCTCACCTTTCCCACAGGTACTGATGCAGTTTGAAGCTACGACACATTTTCCTGCAGCTCAGGCTTCTGCTGCTTGGTCCTCCCTTGTTGCAGAGTTATCTCCCGTTAGGGACTTCTCCGTGAGTACAGGGTGAATTCAGCATAAGAAGAAGCCACCCCCTGGGCTTTTCCAGACCTCTCTTTTCCCCTAAGCTTTTCCTGGCTTTCCTGTGTCATTGCAGAAATCTCACAGAAGACCCAGGAGCACTTGAGTAACAGGTTATGGGAAATGTGCTCTCTGCATCTTCTACCTCCTGGCACTTGCCCATCACCACCACATCCAAACTGCCCTCACGGTCTCCCCGTTAGCACCAGGCAGTAAAAGGAGCTGTCAGAAATCAGCCATCACATTTGCCTAAAAATGCAAATTTTTGTGGAATTTGTCCACCAACTCTCTCACAGATAAGAGGAAAGACCTTTATAATATTGCACAATTACTATTATTTGCAAGACAGAGTGCTTTTGCTCAGTGAATTTTGTGCTATAATTGCACCATGCAACTCAGTTCAGCAAACCAGCTAAAATCAGGGCTAGGTGACACAGGACAATAAACTTAGAGGGAATGGACTAGACATAATGCCCCACTACAAGTATTATTTCCAAGTTCACAGGCTTGCAAATTAAAATGTCCCTGGACCAGTGCCATAAAAAAGAACATTAAAAATCAGGGGAAGAGGTCTGGGCATCTGTTAGAAGCATCTAATATATACCAAATGTGTATGCTGAGCTTCTTAGATATATGCATTGCTGAAATATAGCCTACGATTAATGTAAAAGCAGAAATGTTTTAATTGTATTTTTCCATTTGATATTCAAATGAAAAAAATATATCTTATTAAACACAACACTTGGCTTTGCTATTTTAATAAAAAATAAGTTGTTGAGGAAAAGAAAAGCAAAACTACTGATTCCTTTCCTTATGATGATCAAATGAGCCTTTCATGTTTGTATCTTATACTTCACTTTTTAGCATTTTGAGGCAAATAGCAGATATCAAAACTTAGTAAATAATCAAAGACTTATTCAGTTTTCCAAACTGTCATGCTGCTTATCTTGTAATAACTGATCTCTTAGGTAGCATAAGCTATTTAATTGCTACTGAAGATTATTTGAATGAAAAATGAGACAACATTCTCCCTTACCCCTCAAAAAGACAAAACTATATTCTTCAAAAAGACACATGCCGACAGATAGATTCTGATCTCTTCTACATATGCACAAGTGCAGTAGCTAATTTTACAAGATTTGATAGGAGCTGTGTATCTGAGATTACACCCTGTCCTCCAGACTGCATATTCCACATGGAAAATGACTTAATTTGGAAATAAATTTTGTTGCTGATAAATCCAGACTCTCAAGTCTCTGGGCATCCAAAGAACCAAACCTATTAAATTATTGTAAAAAACAGCTACTGCATTTTAAAGGGACTTTTTACAGTGTTGGCAAAGTGCGTATTCATGTATCCCCCCTGACATGATAGACTGTAATGGTTCCAGTCTGTCATGTCAACCATCTGCATATTAAACAGTCCCTAAGTACACATTGACACAGCAGACCCTAATAGCTCTGAAGCCGTAACAATCTATTGAGTCAATAATATGCATGTTAAAGAGCATCTCCTGTACTTCCATCAATATCTTTTATCTTTTCCTTAATTTCTATCTTCTTTTTATAGGTATATTCAGAGTTAAAGTTTCAGGAACCTTTATCCTTTAATGTGCTGCCACAGATGTGAAACATGTGGCACAGAGAGGCACATGCAGTAGCAAAATCCTTCCCTAGTATTGGGGCCAGACCTTAAAATAAGAACTGTAATATTTTTACACTGACAGCATACATTCTTCCAGATAAGGTGGAAATAGCCCCTCTTTTCTACTGGGCTGGACGCAGTGATAGTGAAAAGCCCGGGAAAGGTTCCTGATGATTTCATGGGCTTTGGATAGAGCCCAGTGTGATGATACTCATTTCCTATTATGCATTTCCTTCTAATTAAATGAAATAGGTCACAGGGGGAAAATGAAACAAAAGACAAATGTATTTACTTACAGTAATATCAACCCCCCAAAAACGGCAATCAAAAACAAGAGAAAGATAATACAAAACATACTGTCTCTTCATTAACTTGAAATCATGTCTGTTACCACAGTCTTAATTCATTCCTGCATCATCTTGGGATCTTTTATACCATGGAAGAGGGAGACTGTTATTTAAGCATAAGAAAATGGAGATTTTACTTTTGGCTAAATAACTGGAGAGAAAAAATCTAATTTTCTTTTGCTTAACTTCACCATATCCTGCTGCAATCCTTTCGCTCCCTGATTACAGGACTTCCCCATCTTCTTCCAATCTTCTTGGTGTCTATAAGCATCACAATTTAGCTTACACATTTAAAAGTGAAACCAAAGTACAATTTGTCTTTCCAAAATGTAGACCTAAGGACAGGGAGGTCACCTGACCCTATCAGCAGATCTTAGCTGTCCTAAATTCCCTTCTCCTTTCCATTAATTTGATACCGATGTATCTTTGATGCACATAGGGATTTATTCCAGCATATTCTTGATTAACTTTCACTCCAGAGAGGACAGAATCATGGTACTCTCCTTCTTGCTTTCCAGGAGTGTGCAGCTCATCCTTCCTCTGCCTTGCACCATTCCACATCCCCATGACACACCGGACCAGATCATCTACTTCTGTGCCTCATTCTGTACAGCATCCCTTAACTGCCTGACAAGCACAGAAGGCCCCTGCCTTCTATGAAGTCCTTGGTAACATCTCGTAGCCAGCAGGCTTTTCTTCCCAATTCAATGGTAGGGAAGTGGATCAGATGTCTACATTAATGCCCAGGGATTTGCCCAGCCATGAGGCATGTCCTCAGAACCTCAGACTAGTGCATAAACTTCATCTTATATGTGTTGTCTACATGTGTCTTATCAGGGCAGGACTTTCTAAACTATGAATAACACATTACTCAAAAAGCCACAGTAGTCACCAGTTGACCTTTTTCACTGAAGATCTAGCAAGTAGATTTAGTTTTGGGCAGGATATGTTTTTCTTCCTAAACGAAAAAAAAAAAGCTATTTAAAAAAAAACCTAAGCAAATGAACAAAACCTAAAGAATGGGTGCCGTTAAAACAAAAGAAAAAGCAAAAGTCACTGAAAGTCCTGCTATGTTGCCTGTATTTCCTTTAGCTGAGGGAAGCAGCCCCAGTGTAGCTCTGGAAGTGCTTGTTCCTACAGAAATTGTTTGTTGTCAAGTCCTCTCTGTGATGCTGCAATTCATCACCAAATTATATATGAAGCACAGTCCTCTCTCTATAATATTATGGGTACAGCCATCTCCATATGAAGAATATAGGTCCTCTCTGGACCTCCTGCAGGAGCTCTCCTGCTATTCACTCTGGTACTTGCTGCGGAGCGATCCAATAACCTAGACCAGTCCAGCTCTGGTGAAGGCAGTAACATCACACAGCAACCACACAGCAGGTCTGGATAATTTATGACATCCCTTCCTCCTCTGGCACTTCTGTTTGTGCCTGATGAGCCTTTCAGGCTTCCCAGAACTTAACAGAATTACCAGGTAATGGCAAAGAAGGACAGGAGGAGGGCTGCTGGCCCCGCAGCCAGAGTCCTTTAACAAAAATCCTCTGCACCAAGGGTTACTGGTAGGTCACACTCACTCTGGATGGCAGTGCTTCTGGGAATTGTTCCACTGATTTAAGTGGACAGGTTGCCCAGTCCAACTTCATGGACTTAGAGCAACCGATACCTGCCACCAAGCGAAAGAAGAGCCACCAGCCTTGGTCCGTAAATGAGATCGGTAAGGGAGATGAAGGGAGGGCAATGAAGGAAACATAATGCTGTAGGTGAAGCGCTCCATGTTCTCCCAGCAACCTTCTTGTGCGTGATGTGAATGTAAGGTGGGCTCGCTTCCTGCTGCCTTGTCCTCCTCCTGCACAGCCTGTTCCATGCCCAGCTACAGCTGAGCCTACCCCAGGCTGGCCTGACCCTGAATGGAAAAATTCCCAATTACTTCAGTGAAGAGGGCTCTGTGTCCTCAGACAAATGCAGGAGAGCAAAATTTGGGTAGGGCTATGATTTCACTGCCTGTGTGCATAGGATGTCTCCTTTCCTACACAGAGGAATGCTGGCCACCCTTCCCACTTTTTTGGTTCTCAGTGTTCATCACTGCACCTGGAGTTATCTCCCATTTACCAAGGAGTTGATTTAAGTGTCTGACTCAGTCACATATGTTTGGCTCCCTTATTCAGAGTAAGATTTGGCCTACTAGCTGTGAAAACAGCTTATATCACATGTGCTGCAAAGCCTAGCCAGAACAGGCTGAATAAAGGATGAAGTTTAATCATGGAAATGTTGACCTACAAATAGAGAACAAAATGTTAAACCACATGGTATAGGGTGCTGCACGCCCCAAATATCAAGGAGAGATAAGAAGAATTGAACACATTTGGAAAGTAAAGCTTACTGTTTGGGGTTTGGTTGGGTTTTTTTTTTTACTTTTTCTTTCTGCATATTCGAAGAGTCAGACCCACACTGTTCCCGCTCGCGATGACACCCTGGCATCCGAAGAACAACATAACACCCACCACAAAATGCTACTGCTGGCTGGCGCCGTCTAAAGCAGCAAGGTTTGGTGAGGGAGGTGAGACTGCCAAAGGCGGGAGAGTGGGGGAGTCACAGAGAGTGGGACCCGGCCGCTAGCGTGACTCCAGTCTATGGGACCTGTACAAACTAGGGAGAGGTAAATGTGACGAGGATTAAGATCCCTTTCATCTTGTGTCCTTGAAAACTAGTCCTGAGTTACCTCTTACAGCTGGGGAGTGGGGGGATGTTGTCATTATTTACACACCACCTTTCAGCTGGGACATCCTCACCTTTGTGTGTTTCACACAAAGAAGGGCAGTGTTTTTGTCAGAGAATCCATTTCCATTTTTAATCACAACCATCACACAGGCAGTTAATCTCACAGGATGGGAAAACTTTCTCATAGGCTTTATTTAACATAATTTTGGGTATTGCAAAGGACAAAGAATAATTTTTTTAATCAGTCATCTTGCTTTCAATAACTCGTCAGCTTTGTCTTTAGGTACACTACATTTTAAACAAATGTAGTTAACAGCAGCCGGCCAGGCCTTACTGACTGACAACTGTTCTTTACAGGATTTCTATGTGCCAAAGAGCTGGACAGTAATATCCATTTGGTATTCATGGAAGGTACTTGCAGAACAATAATGACAATAATTGCTTCTGATTCTTGTGTTTACAACACTGCCAAAGTATCATTAGAGCCTTATTTATAGATAATAATGCTTATTAATCACACATATTTGAATTTTGGAATGTATTAGATTAATATTCTTTTGTAACTTGGTTGTGTACTAATGCTATGAAAAGCACTTTCTGAATGCGCCCACTGGGAAGTGCTTGCCTCGGTAAAGTAAAAGCATCCAAGCCATCTGCAGGTGAGGGACAAAGGGCATACCTCTTCCTCAGCAGGCAAACACCAAAGCCGGACACGCCAGTTCCAAAAGCAGCTCCTTTGGATTAAAATCAGGGGCAGATGCCTGAAAAAAAATACCGTGAAAGGTGTGATAGTAGTGTTGTTCTTGAGCTTGCTTTTTGATGCTCTATGAAAAGGTTTGTTTTCTACTGCTTTATAAAGAAACTGGGTTTGGAAGGTGAGGAATAGATCCATCTATCATCTCACTCTCTAACAGCCCATTCTAGCCCATGGGAGAGTTTAGCCTGGACCTTAGGATTCCTTATCACTCAAGAGGTTGGCAATGAGAAATATAGGAAACATACCGCAAGAAAACACTCTTAGTTTTGGTTATTAAATAATTCCAAGTCTATCTCAACACTTTCTACAATTCAATAGCATGATAGAAGAAAAATAGATTTTTTTAAAAGACATTTTCAACGCATGAAAGTGCCACCCAAATCTAAATACCAACTGCCCTATATTCACATCCTCCTTTGTTTCCCTGTAGCTCATTACAATGGTGAAAAATATACCAAAGCAACTTACAGTACCAAACTCTCCAATTTTTAGTGTGTGACCAGCCCCATAAATTTGCATTTAAATAAATAAATTCCAGAACAGTGTAGAATGTTGTATTATTATTATTATTATTTTAAGATAGTCCTTCAAGCAAATTTGCAGAGGCTCTGTCAGCTTAGAGACAACATTTCCATCTGTTTGGTTGGGTTTTTTTTCCTTTTTACCCACTGCCGATGCAATGTAACTACTCCAACACCAGAAAGTAAAGAAACTGGGAAGCGGGGGAGTGGGTGTTGTTTTTTATTCTGTGTGTCCATTTTGTGGTTTTTATGGTGCTCCCTGCACATTGAGGATAACCTGTTGCTAAGTGTCACAGCCCCATTGTCTCCAGGGATCTTTTACAGTGGCAGAAAAAAAAGAAATAATTAAAATGCAGAAGCTTTAAATTGTGAAGAACACTTGTGGCTTTACCACAACTCCCCCAAGCTGCCCCTAGCCAACGTTTTAACGCACAAAATTACAAAGTGATGTTGCCCCTTTAAAATGTTTCACCTATTAATATTCCAGTGAGCTTTGCTAACTGTTTTTAGAAAATGCCAGTATTGAGTTTTCCCAGGAATTTCAAACCTATCAAGACAGCCAGTGCTGAGCACAGTCCAATCATCTCTAACTGAAGCCAGGATTTAAAATTTTAAAAACCATAATAGAGAGATTAGAGACGAAACCAAAGCGCAAAGTTGGTGTCGGGATGCGGAGGGAAGCCCTGTCCCTCTGGGTTCCGCACAACAAAGCGGAGCAGCCCTCCCATCCCAGAGACCCCAGCTCCTGCTAGGGGCTGTGGGGCCAGCTTGTCCTGGGCATTGCTGGGAGGAGGGTCACGGCTTCAACCACCACTTGCAGACAAAGGAATTATTCCTCAAATGTGGGCACAAGGGGCGCAAAGAGCTTTGGATTGGGTTCCTTTCCCAGCTGCAGCTCAATACCATCCAGTCAAAACTGATGCCAAAGCTTGAAAGTCCTGCACTGAGGGGACTTTGATCAATAACTAGTCATGGCTTTTGGTTCTTCTGCTAGTCCTCTTCTGAAAAGAAAACCCATAGCCCCCAGTGCACACAACCTGCTACAGCATTCACTGGCACAGAAGCATGTGCAGATACTCTCCTCTCCCCAGCCATTGATGGCTCCCCGAAAAGTTTGTTATATTTTCCTTAGGTTTCAGAGTGTCACAGTGCAAAAAGCTGTCCCTCTAACAGGTGTGTGTAATCTGCATCTTATTCTTTCCTAATAGTTATGAAAATAGCTAAGAGAGTTCAGTAAAGGATCCTAATTTCAGAAAGGCAAATCAGCAGCTTACAAAATCATAATTCACCCTCTGCAGTTTACAGACTTCTTATTTTCTTAACTGAGTAGTGAACAATGATTTCTATTGTTTCTCTTTTTTTTTTCGGGGCAGTAGTGTTTTAATAATTTTTTCTACCTCTTAGAAGAAAAAGGCAAAGCAAACAGTTATCACATGAGGAAAGGTACATTTGCATTTTATATACGTATAGCTAATGCTATACCCACACAAAGATAAAAACAGACATTTCCAGCCATAGAATTTTACTATTTATTATAGCCAGACTTGCACGAGTCAAATTTCCATGACATTTGACTTTCTAAAGAAAAATTGGCACTTTTTTTAATGCTTTTCACAGTTCTCACTGAAGTTAAATGAAGGAGTGAATGCCCAAGGCCCTTGAAAAATGCAACTTGTCGCTTTCCTGCAGTATCCCTTTTCTGTTTCTATCGGGAACCCCAGTATGAAAAAGCTGTCCTTCTTGCACAAAATAAGATGACCCTATAAACACTGCTCACATGCACCAGAAATTTCAGCATGAGTTAGGGTATGCAAAATCAAGTCTCAAGTAAAATCCAAGCAAACAAGCAGCAAAATCACCCTCCTAACATCAAGCGAAGTTACTACAAGTTGCATTTTTGGATTTGTAGATATGGGATAAGAAAATCAAGACAGAAAAGTTTTGACTGGCTTGTTCACTAACCATATCTCAATAGTCACAAATGATTAAAAAGGAAAATTCAACTGGAAAAGTTCTAAACATAGAGGAAGTTTCATAAGTGTCTTTTTGTAGTATCGTTTTATTTGCTATATTTCTTACTAGGACAATATTACTCTGCTTGTATTTAACATTGAGTTTATTGTCAAATAATTATTCTTTCTGTTTTCGGATTACATTATTATTGTGTATTTCTCCCTCCACATACGTATCATGAACATTTTTCTTTCTTAGTTTTATATCATATATAACAACTAAAGTCTGGAATTTGTAGCTTCCCATCACCTTCATAGAACTGTAAGACACAAGCAGGAATAAAAATAAAAACATACCTTTTCATCAAGTAGTCTGCTAACCAAAAGGAAAAAAAAAAAAAAAGCTTGCTTTGTGTATTTCTAAATAGTCCTCTAGGAGTCTTATACTTGTACTACATGCTATATATGGTTTCTCCCCCTGTTATGACATCTCTGATTATTTAAAAAAAACAACTCTCCAAAATGTTAAGGCACAAACCTTTGTACGGAATACTTTTAGTACGCTTTTTATTCTGACAAGATTAATAATTATCCTATAAGCATGACACAGTGTTTTAAAATGTTTTTTCCTGCTATGAGTTAGGATTGTGCACATAAATGTGGAAAGAAAGGTTATTTCACAGCAGAGAAAAGCATATTTAAACAAACTGTGATTAAATGGTAAAACTGCTTAAAAAGGAAAAGCATGGGTTCTTTCTCACCACAGTTATTCTGAATTTAAAATCCCATAGTAAATTTCCAAAGGACACTGGGCATTTGTAATGAAAACACAAGCTACTGAAATTAATGAGAGATAATTGAGAGAACCATAGCAAATGTCCCAGAGCTTTGGCCAAAACTGGACAGAAAAAGATCCGCTTGTGTAGCAAGTGATAACTGCGTGCCCTCCCTACCAACACCACTCTGTCTTCTTCTGTGGCACCTGCAACCAGCTCGTGGTGGGAGCAACTGGCACTGTGGGAACCAGTCTACAGACTAACCAGACATTTGCTGTCCTTCAACAAGACACCTCACAAGTGCTGACAGTCCTCATGGCAGCCTTAAGTCTTTCCCAGAACACACAACTGGCCTTTCTGCTAAGCTCATACATATCCAGCACTTCCCATCGATGCAAAGACGCAGGTATGGGGTTTTTTGATCGTTCAAAATGCTCAGTAATGCATATCCTACTTATTAGTATGTAGTGACCACAATTATTGCTGGCCTGATTCACTAGTCAAAGTGTGTAGGATGTAACCCTTAGACAGCTGAGGCATAGGGCAAGATCAACGTGGCCCTCATACCTAACTCCATTCGCATCATATAAATGTAACAATAATCTCTCCATTGACATTAAAGTCTAATGGAAATATTTCAGGGAGCAGAATGAGAGCTAGGTCCTGCTCATTCCAATCAAACAAAACTCCACATGGCTTCAATGAATGGGACAAGCAAGATTTGGCCCATCTTGAGCAGCACAGGTTTGGCTTCCAGATGCTGAGCTGTACCCACTCATTGGAGAAGGACAGTGAAACAATGGAGCCAATAGACCTTGAACTAAAGAGACTACCAAGGGTAACACCTTGTCTGCACTTGAACGGATGGCAAGGCAAGGAGCAGCACCCAATTTGCCCCTGAGCTTTAGTGCTGGGCTTCAACCATGGTACAGTCTTTCTACTAACTTTACTTGAAGGAGTAATTTAAAAATAATTTAATGCCAAGTGCCAGAGGGCCCACTTTTTCACAACATTAAACTGAATCATATCAGCTCCCATTCTAAATATAAAATATGATTGCATTACTTGACTTCATACTTTTTATAAAGGTCCCGTTGTGGTGGGGTTTCACAAGGTATAAAAGCCCATACAGGTATTATGGGCCATGTCAGTCCATTTCATCTAATTAATCATCTGCTTAAAAATGTTTTTCTTGAATCATAGTAGAAAAAATAAAATAAGTGTTCTTTTTTATCATTTCCAAAATTAAATTTATATTCCATAATGACCATATTTCATGTGCAAAATAACAAGATATGCTTACATACCTGACTTCCCTCCTTTAGTGAGTTGCTTCATTTGTAAAACATTGCATATAAGATTAGAACCTAAAATGAATTACTTGGTTTTTCTTGATATGAAATCTTGTTTAAGTTCACAGCAATTTTAAATATGATACATTTAAAATATTAATATTTCCCATATATTATTCACTGACTTTCAGGTTTCATCTCAAGTTAGTGGCACTTCATATTTCAAAGGAAAAACTGTTTCTTTTTTTCAGTACTAATGTTCTATTAATTCACTTTGTAATATCATTCTGGTTCAGACAAATAAAATTGCACTAAATTGCTTATGCCAAGAATCGTGCTAAAGTTGTTGGCACTATATAAAATTCCCTATTCCATTACTATTTTATAAGTTTTTTATATCAGTGGCATCTTTTTAGGCATAATTCACAGTCCCATTTAGTTAGTTCTAGAAGGGCAAATACACACGGAGGGTTTTTTTTTGCTGAGATGGGGGTGTGTATAGGTATTTACAGTAATGTTTGAAACTAAAGTGACTTTTGCAATGTACCAGATACCAACTCGCAGTGAACCACCTTAATGACTTTTCCTTTATGAATATTTTTTGTTTTGGGCAGTTTTCTCTTCCAGCATGTTTTTTATCACACACATGTATAAACACATACATATGCACACACATACATTTGTGAAAAATAAATTTGTGGGCATACAGAAATACCTGAAAGGCCTCATATGCATATTATGCAACATATGCCATTCATGTATTCACTACATACAAAAAGAAAATTCATTTTATAGATACAAATAAAATATGCTAAAGAAGTCCTTAAAGGACCCATAAAGTCCTCAACATAGATGGATTCTTCATCACATCCAAAGAACTGAAAGACCCATGGATAAATCCAATCTTTTTATATGTTCATTTATATTTTATACTTTTTACATAAATTCCACGTGGCCTCATAGCTATTTCCAGAGATGTGGATGAAAGTTACACCTGGATAAACTGAAAACTTTAATGAGTAATGCAGCATCTAATCCTATGAAATGCCTTGCTGGAGTGAATAATTACTAAGTGCTGGAGCAAAAGTAGCAAACAGCAGTAAAATCACCTGTAAATAGATGTGAGGAACTATAAATACACTTTAGCATTTGTATAGTTGACTTTCTCTGACTGATTTCTCTCATCAAAATCAAATGTTCAGGAGGCAGAAATCCAACTCCAAGGAATGCAGATTAATACATATATATGAATATATAGTCTGTGACCAAGTTTGCAACATTGTTAATAATGTATGCTCCTTTTCTAATGTCTAGTATTTGCTCCCTCGGCAATTTTAAAAATAAGAAAATTTGATCCAACTCTTTCAAAAAATAAATTGCAAAATAACTGATGCAAATCCCTGTCACTTGTGAACACAATGAAATTATACAGAAAGGAGCAAATGCAGGAGAGGCTCCTCCTCAAAAATAGAAACGACTGCCCTGTTCCTATACGGTCCTCAAATGGCAGGATTTTGAAACATGGATTAGACCTCAAATGCAAATTAACTTCGGAAGACAGGGAGAGGGGGAAAAAATCAGAGACATACCAAGTCAAACACTCCTTTTCCTGCCTATCTCGTCCGCAATGGTAAAATAGGCTAAACAAAACAAGTGCACATCAAGATACAGCCAATTAAGGAATAGAGAGCGGGGGGGAGAGGGTGGAGAGGAAGGCACCTCACTGAGCACATGGGGAGTGGGAGCGCAGCATCCCACCATACCTACCTTATGAGTGTTCAAAGGAAGACAACTGGGGTAAATTGGAGCCAGCTTTGATTTTTGCCATCCGGTTGCACCCGGGATGCGGGGGAGTGGGGTGGGGCAGAAGGGTCGGTCTGGGCGGAGGTAGACGGGTGATAAAAAAAGTGGGGCTAAATACTGAGTGAGGGTGCCGAACGCTATGCAAATAGTTGGTCTTTGTTTGTCGGGTTTTTTTTTGGGGGGGGCGGTGGGGGGCGTGAGAAAAGGCACCGTCAGTGGCGAGGTGAGTGGGTCCCCACACCGTCCGCACACGCGTGGGGGAGGGCGAGGGGAGTCGTGCGGGAGCGCCGGCGCGGGGCAGTGCTGCCCACCGAGGGGCGCGGGGCCGGGGCGGCGGGGCGCGGGGGCTGCGCCTTCCCGGGAGCAGCGGCCGCTCCAGATGGGGAGAGAGGGGGTGCGGACCCCCCTCCTTCCGTCAGTCATCGCCTCCCTAACCCCCCGACCGCTCCCCCCCCCCGTCACGGCTGCCTCACCGCTCCCGGCGGCTCCCTGCTCAGAAATGGAGACCGGCAACTCTCACCAGAGCTCACCCGCATCCCACGGTCCTGAGGAAGGAGTTTGGGGCGGCGGGGGGAAGCGAGGCGTGGGGAGGGGGGGGTTGTTTGAGAGTGACGGTGAGGCGAGGAGGAGGAGGAAGGAGGAAGGCTGGGAAGAAGGGGGTGGAGGGAGACGGCTTCTGAAATGGAGCCAGCCCAAACGGGAGACGATGCTGGAACAGGGGCTGCGTCATTTCGGGGCTGGGAGAGGGCTCAGCTCCCCTCCGCCGCTTCCCTGTCTGCAGGCAGGGAGGACAGATACCAGCAGGCCAGGGCAGGGTGCGGGGCGCTGCGGGGTCGGGACCACCTCCGCCCGCCCTTCTCCGCAAGCCCCCGGGGCCGGGACGGGGAAGGAAAACCCCACGCTGGGAAAAGGGATAAGCCGCCTTCGGTCCGCTTAGCGATGCCAGAAAAGACAGGGGCAGGGAGAGGACTACGGGACTCATCGGCCACAAAGCAGTAGGCAGAACGGGTCACGAGCGGGGGCCCGAGGCAGGGCCAGCTCCCGCGGGGGTAACAGGGTCCCGGGACGGCGAGGGTAGGAGGAATGATCGGCATTTATAACGCCGGGGGAGGCTCACAGCCTTTCAAAGAGTTTCAGCTGGGTGAGTGGAAATGCCTTCTGCCCCTTACACATATGGAAGCACAGCGATCTTGGGGCGGGGGGGAGGGAAGGCAAATTTTCTGCTGGACAGTGGATCTCTTTGAGCCTATTGTTAAAACCTATGGCAGCAATTAAAAATAAACTTTCTTTCTGCAGAGAGGAGGTAGCAGAGACTGAGGGTCTGAAGCTAGCGAGTGGCCAGCAGCTACCCTGATCTTTTATGGCCCATGCCAGCAAGGTGGTGGCCCGGCCCTGTACTGAAAGACTGTGGGCACAGTATGTTGCATGTCTGAGACTTAATAATTGGCCTGGGAATACCTCTCCTTCTTTCAACTCTTCCTATCCAGTCCAACACAGTTTCCTTCTGAAGCTCATCCCCCTCAAAAGCTTTCTAAATTCTGCTTCAAATAATCATGTTCACATATTTTTAAATTTTTTAAAATTATTTTCATACCATCCCTGTGGTCCCATGTTTAAAAAGCAAAGCTGCTCAGTGGCTTGAGACCACAGGTGCCATCATGGAGGTCCATAATGTGTATCAGTAAAAAGCAAGAGAGAATTAAGTCCCCAGGCCAGATTATAGTGCTGGTACACAACCATGTACAGCCTTGTCCAAGCCTTCTACAGTACCTGCCACAGCAAAGGTGTTGCTTGTAAAGTCCTGACAATATTGACCATAGTCATTATTGTTATGTGCATAAATATTTTAGCTTCTTTTATGACTCTGCGCATGTGTGTGTGGGCAATATCTGTGTGCATGCTCATACAAACACATTTATATCTATGTATATATTCAATAGTGATGGGCCTGTTAAACTGAACAGTGATTTCTCTCCTACAGATAGTTGTATAATACACACATAGTGATGATACCTAAGGTGTTTGGGGGTGGGGATGCATAATATCTTATAAATTTGAAGTTTTTATCAGGCAGAGCAGATTACTTTAAGCGTTCAATTTCTCAGCGATCCAATTTTATTAGGATTTACTATCATTTGTGCTGCACATCCCTGGGGAAATAATGCTTTGATTAATGTAATCCTGGGCTGGGATCTGCCACATGCCCCTCTCCCAAGAGAAGGGCCCTGTTTGACAAACAAAAATAGAGCAGCAACTATTGCAATCTGCACTCACCTTTCGCAAGCACATAGACCCACATGCACACACAGACACAAAATATAACCTTCTCCTCCCCCCAACCCCAAATACAATAGCAGCATCTCAAAACAATGTGCACTTATTCATTTACACACAATGACTCTGATTCAATGTGGGCTGTACAGTCCAGCCCTCAAATGCATAGAGACGGCCCAAAAAGGATTCTGCCCTGTCCCCTGCTGAGAAGCTGAAGCATCTCTGGGAAGCTCAATGCTTCTCTGTGTTCCAGGCCCTCCTTGGGCTCCCAACATTTCTGCCTCTTTGTTTCCCACTGCAGGGCTTTGGGATTTCACAAACCGATTTCAAGTCTTCTCCTTCAGACCCAGGGGCTGGAGAAGCTGTCCCTCCAAAACTCCCTGGCACCTACTGGGGGGACATGTACCTCTCTAAATGGGCCCTGGTAAGTGAATCACAGCCAGGCACTCTGCTCAGCTCACAGGGAGAGTGGGTGAACCCAGAAAACAACATCAAAGAGAAAGACTTGTCACATACGTTTTAAAGGGAAAAAAAAGAAGTATTCCTCTGCCTTTGGGGGTTGCTGGGGTTTGAGCATCTTTGTTCCAGCCACCACCACCACCTCCCCGCCCCCCCCCCCCCTTCTGTTTGTGTCAAAGCCTGGCAGGAACAATAGCGTTTAAACAGAAGTAAATATGCCCAGATCAGAGCCCAGCCCCAGAGAAAGGGAAAGCTTTCTTTATATCCCTAGGTGAACTGGCCCAAATAGCAGTTTAATGTTGAATTTCTTCCTTCCACCCTGCCGGAACAAAGCAGGTCCCACTGTGCCTGAGGAGGACATACAGCGTCACAAAAAGGGCTCTGGCAGCACTCGGGCCACTCTTTCCCAAGTCCGGAGTAATAAATCCAGGGGAAGGAGGGGAGGGATCTACAGTCTGGAGATAAGGAGGGATGCAGTTTGCGCCAGGGTTTTCAATAAGCTGCTGCTCTCTCCTTCGTGTTTACCCACTGACCCCCAGTACGGTGACTCAGCGATTACAGAGCACTGGGTGTCTGCGTGTGTAAGGGTGTGAAGGGGAGCGGGGGGATTTCCTCCCCCTTTTCCCTTTCTTTTCTTTCCTGATGAAAAACGTTGCAATTACATTTCTGCATGCTGATCAGAGAGTTCAAATAACAAGCCTTAAACGCGTTATCAGGCTCTTGTTAAAGAGGGAAGTGAAGGGGGGAACAAATCCAGACGTATATGCCTGGATGTATGCATACCTATATAGATACATATTTAAATGACAGACTGCTACAAGAAGAGATGGGCTGTTGTTCGGACCGAGTGCCTTGACCCCAGCAGATGAGGAAAGAGCCTCAATTTAAAACACCAACCAAACTAGAGAGGAAAGCAAGACGCACAAATCACTCCAGGGAAAAGTTATTTAGACACAATCTCAAGATTTTCCCAGTGCAAACTGACTTTCCTATCGGGTTTGATCCAGTTTTCCTGCTCCTCTTCCCTCTCCCACCCCGGGGGGGATCCATCCCTATTTCGCGTTTTCCTTCTCAGAAGTGGCTCCTCCGCCCCGCCCGGGAGGGCGTTTGCCGGGACCCTGGCGTGGCCGCGGCCCGTTCCGCGCCCGCGGAAAGGCCGGCGGGGCGGGGGTGGTCCCCCGGGGACGCGGGGTGGCGGCGGGCTTTCGGGTTCCAGCCTCCGCCCCCCACATTGCTGCCCCCCTAACTCTTGGCAGGCGGCAAGAAATTGTTTCAGATGTCGGGTGGTGGGGCTGCATTTAGAGAGGGGAGGAGGGAATAAATGCAAGGAGATGATGAATAACTTTAACTTTTGACTGTAGGAGTCATGATGGAGTTGAGCGAAGCTGCGGGGAAATATGTCATTTAATCCCAGGGCTACTGAAGTCCCTTTTATCAAACGTCGTGATGCTGGAATTATACTGCTGTAAAAGCGACTGAGTACTTAAAAGTATCCAACATCAGGCAAATGTATAGATTGGAGGAATGGGTGTAAAATGAAGGCACGTACAAACTAATCACAGGACCGTGAAAACCCCAAGAGGATTAGATAAATATAAATAGATGTGCATTAAAAAAAAAAAAAAAAAAAGCACGATAAAACTCTAGCTGCTGTATTCACACAAGGAGAACAGACAGCGTGTGCATGTTTGTGTGCAATGCCAAAAAGAGCAGCCTTAAGGTTGACCTACTGCAATCTGCACTGAGCTCCTCAGACAATAGACAAGTTCAAATGTCAAAAAATCTAATAATAATAACCAGAGCTGCCAAACTGCACGAACTGTTTTCTGGTGTATCGCAATTATTCACCCTCATATCCACTAAAAGACTTCCAGTCCTCATGCGTGTAAAAGAAAATCTATGCAATGCATATGAATTTTTTTTTATCACATGTGAAACGCCATTGAGATGGCAAGCACGCAAATCGAAATGATATCATGTCTAATAAAAGCAGGGCTAAGGTTTTCACAGTCTCTTTTAAAAGACTCCAACTTGTAAATCCCCTTTTAATGTCGCTACATGCACAATTATTCTTATTAATAAAAATCTACATGTTTAAGGGTCTGGATTGAAACTATGTATCCCTCTGATTTTAACATCGGTGGGAGCATTAGGTTTCCATCATATGTAATGTGTCTACGTTGAGCTCAAGTCAACAGATAGATTGTTCCATTCATTTGGCAACTCTCATTACAGTCCGTGTGAGGTGAACCCTGAGCAAGACACGTTGGGTAATATCAAAATTATGCAGCTGGGAAATAAAGGAATCTTGCTTTGCATGTGCGGTTCTGTATTATTGTTCTAATTTATTACAGAACCGAAATGCTTTGTTATGCTCAAAACAACAAATAAGGTTCTGAGTGAAGCCTTCAGAATAAAAGGTATGGATAAATGATCCGCCTGCCTATTGTGTTTATCGTTATTATAGTCAGCCTTTAAAAGTAATCTGTGTATTTTCCTATTTTCTCCAGATTGGTTAGTGCAATATCCCTAGTGCAGCTATCAACGTGGTCATAAGAACTATGAACTACAGCGTGGGTAAGCTTGAAAAACCCAGAGCAGATCGCATTAGCCAAGAACGCTACATATCTGGAAGCCAGTCAACTTCACGTTTGCAGCTGACTGCTGTATTATGCACGAATGTGTTTTACATATAGCAGACTGTATACGGAATATGTCTTTATGTTTAACATTTTAATTTGTAAATGCTAATTAGGCAGTTGGTCTCCACGGTTATATTAGTACATACCTAATCATTTCCCACTATAAGTAAATGAATACTAAATACGGTAAACACTTTCTTTTTTACTATTTCCACGACAGTATCTCTTCTACATCCATTTTCCAAAGGCATCCATTAGAACAAAATAGGCATTTATTTTAAAAAAGGGGAGGAAAAAAATGCACTCTGTAGCACTCTTACAATTGGGGTGCCACGGCAGGCATGGAGCCGGCAATCCTGGCCGGACCGGACTCTTCCAAAGGCAGCCAGAAAAGTTTACTTGTGCCGAATTAACTTGTTGCTCGTTTTTGCGTTAGTTTCTCTCTCGCTTGCGGTACCTAGTCGCCTGCTGCTGCTAACTGGCGCAGGCACACAGCAGAGGAGCTGCGCTTCTAAACCCTGTTTTGTTTAAAATATAACGCAGGTTACGCTTGGAGGATTGGGGGAAGGGGGGGCAGAGGAAAGCTGGGGGAAATCCGCTCAATCCCGACCCCGGGATGATGAACTTTGCTGGGCTCTTTCAACTCCAAAACCCGCCCGCTTCACAGGCGAGGGAAATGTTCACTAAACTACAAATCTCAAGAAAGTGACCACGTTTCTGAGGAGAATTGAGCTCTGGAAATATGTTTTAATAGTCTGGAATATTCCTAGCGCTCATTGCGCCAAACGCGGTAGGTGGAAAGTTTTGTTCATGTAAATATCTCAACCATTTTACCTCACGGTCAATACACACAGAGACTTGACTCCGTTTTCCAAATGAAGCCCCACGAACACTTTAAATGGAAAGTGTAGAAAAGTGTAATAAGTGTAATATCTTGTAGTTCGTTTTCTGTCTTTGATTACTTTTCTCTCTCTCTCTTTTTTTTTTTTTTTTTTTTTTTTTTTTTTTTTTTGCTATGCATGTGTTAGGCTTTTAGGCGGGGAGTTCATCTTGCCAGGTTCTATCATATTTATGGGCTGTGTGATTTCCAGGGTTCCAATTGGTCTTTCCTTTATGGAGGCAAGAAATAAAACTTTCCTTGTAGCACGGAAACTGCTGGGGCTCCACCACGGGGAAACAAAGTGGCTCCAAGCTCCCGCCCCCGTGGCCACCGCTCCCCGCCCGTCCCGGGAGGACGCAGGTGCGTTGCAGGATGCTGCAGCCACGCGGGTCCGCCCGTGCCCTGTGTCCTGCCCGCGGACGAGGGCGCGGGGGTGAGAAGCAGCCGTGTTTGCGCAGGAATTCCACCAAAAAAAAAAAAAAAAAAACCAAAAAAAAAACCCAAAAAAAAACCCGAACAACCCGCCTCGCACACTAAAAAAAAAAAAAAACCGAAAACTAAAAGCCACCAACTAAATTTCTCAGTTCTGTCCCCTCTTGCAATCACTTAGCGAGGGAAGCAGAGGAAAGGAGTAAGGGCAGAGGGCAGGCGCGCTCGGGAAGGGACAGAGACCCGAGCTGTGTCGAGCTAAGCTGCGGTCGCTGTCGATGCTGTGCTTAGTTGAGGTTGTTAATCTGCGAGCGTCCCGGACGGCGAAATTTGTGCCGGGTGCGCGGCCGGTGCGGGCAGGGCGGGAGGCGGGGGGAGCCCGGCGCTACCTCTGTCGCTGGCTCCCGCACACAGATAAGTCTGAAGGGATCGGGGGGAGGAGTGGCCAGCTTGAGGGGGAAGGAGGGAAAAACGAAAGGAAAAAAAAAGAAAAAGAAAAAGAAAACTAGCCACTTTTCCAGGTTTAATACAGCGATTAAATATTAAATAATGTAAAAAACCCGAGTCGTTTTATTGCATCTCCAGAGGCTTAAGCGCCTTATTTGGACAGGAAGAAAACCACAAAAAAGCCCCGCGTGGCACCCCGGGTTGCCCCGAGCTGCGGTGCCCGTGCCTGTGTTTAATTACCGCTCTCACTCCTTGCAGGCCTCGGGTCCGTTGGAGGCACCGCACCGCCTGGGACACTTTCGGGCGGCCCGCGCACCGGCAGCCCCCGCTGCTGTCCCCCCGCCCGCCGGCCCCGGGGGCCGCGGGGCGCTGTCCCGGCGGCGGGGAGCGCCGGTGTGCGGGCAGCGCCGGTGTGCGGGCAGCGCTGGCGGCGGGGCCGGGCCCGCAGCCCCCTCAGCCGCCCTCAGCCCCCGCCCGCGCGCGCGGGGAGGGGGCGTCGCGGGGCGCCCCCTGGCGGCCGGCCGGGGCCAGGCGGAGCGCGCCCAAAGTTGATTTTGTTCAGCAAGCCGTATCGTATAAAATTAACGACAGCCAATAAAATTAGCTTACATGTTTCAACCGTAAAAGTCCAAAACAAAATAAAGCTAGTTTTAGTGAAGCTAGGAAGCTCTGCTTTGGCCCCGTTCTCTCTGGCTTGAACTGGGGTCCTTTTATCTAAAGCCCAGTGCACAAACATATAGCTTAATGTGACTAGTGTTCTTCCTTTTATTTCTTTCTCTATGGCAACCAATATGTTCTGCTCAGAAATGTTCCCCCATCAAGGAAACAAATGATCTTGAGGGAGCAGCTCTATACGGCATCTGTTCCGATGGAGCACACAGAGTTAACCCCAGTCAAAAGAGACGCTGGGCACGTCAACAAGAAGTGGAAAATGAGCGATTCTTCTCCCCCCCAAATTGAAACCTATACCTCCGTAGTTTTACAAGCCATTTTATTGATTTGGCTATCGACCGTTTCCAAAGAAGTAACTAATTCTAGGAAATTACAATGATCACCAGCTATTGTGTATCCAAAAGAGCAGCAACAGAGGTGGCAAGGAAAAAAATGAAAAAATAAAAGGGTAAAATTAAAATAAATTAAAGTCACGTAATGGGATATTTAAGGTTCGGTAAAGTTTTCGGGAGCGGTATCTGGCCTGTTAATTTAATCCTACATTATTTATCGCATTATTTATCACACTGACCCAAACGCTATAGAAGAGTTTCAGATCATTAGACTACAGCTCGCAATTGGATGGGATTCGGGGAAAGCGGAGAGACAGGCAAGATTGTCAAGAGAGAGAAACAAAGTGAAATCTGGTCTGTAATCCTCCAGCCCCAATCTCCTTGGAGAATAAAATGAAGGGATGTCCTGGTTAGTTTTGATTGATTATACTCTTTCTGATGGACTTTCACTACAGAGCTCTAGATGTTGTGCTTAACCGTCTGTTCCCTAGTTACAATATTAACCCTGTGCGTGCACCGCCGCTCCGCACCTTCCCCGGCCTCCCCCGCTCCCGTCCGTCCGTCCGTCCGTCCGTCCGTCCCTCCGCCGGCAGGTGCTCGGGTCACCGCGCCCCGCTCGGCCCCGGCCCCGGCCCCTCTCCCGCCCGCTGCACCGGCCGGGCCCCCTCCCCGCCCGCCGGGCGACCCCCCCGCCCCCCCGAAGCAGCGTTTGAAAACAGCCCGCATCTCTGCCTCGCCTCCCCTTCACAAATCTGTAATATTTTCGAGAGCTTTCCTCGCCCCCCCCCCCCCCCCCGCCCCGGCCCAGCCTCCCCGAGTCTTGGTGTTACAATAATTAACAGTGCCCAGAAAAGTGAAGTAGTAACCAGAAAGACTTTCCAGCGCTGAAGAATTGCTTTGCTGCCTTGAGCTTTGGAATGAATCCATGCTTTTTATGTAATATTTCACTAAGGTGCTTTTTGTTGCTGGTGGGATTTTTTTCCCTTTCTCTTTCCCTTTTTTTTTCAGCCTGTTTCCTTCAAGGCAGTTGCCATGGGTTTCCCCTGTCTTGTCCTAAGCTTTTGAAAATATATATCCAGAAGACTTTAAAGAAAACAAAAGTAGATAAAAAAATGTAAAACACTTACCGATCAAACTCCCAGGATTTAGAGAATTTTTTTTTAATTTTTGATTTTAATAAGGTGACAGGGGGAAAAAAGCATGTTCTCAACTCCAGCGAAACGATCCATGTTAAGATTTTCCTTTGCACTGACTCCACTAAGCCCCGCTCTCCACTAGTCTATTATTTTCACCAAAATATATGAAAATTTATGCAAATGAAAATCAGCACTAACTGTTCTCCCCTTGTTATACTTTGGATTTTTTTCCAGACAAAACAATCTCACTCTGCAAGGGAGGGGGTGGGAAGAGTTGGGGAACGAAGTTGGTTGTTTGTTTTTTGTTGGGATATTTTTTAAAATAAAAGACCATACTCCAGCTTGAGCTTTATTTTTTGTTTTCGCTGTTATGAGGGTGTACGGCGGTTTGGGTTTTTTTTCTGTATTTTTGGGGGATTTCTCCACCCCCCCACACACCTTCCTTTTTTATTAAGAAAGTAGATCTGTTTGCAGAGGCGCTATCACGTTTCATCAGGCCACCTGAGACGGCTTTTGAAAGCGTGTACTGTGAAATTCATAGCAGTAATTTAGACAAAATCCTCACTGTATATTAATGAAAGACGGCCCCATGGCACCGTTCCTATCCTCCCCATTCAGTGTAAACAAAACCACGAGACTCACTCGGTTTTTGAGCCTGATCCAAGCAAAATCGGCTGGAAAGGAAAACATGGGGTTCTGGCACTGACTATTCAAACGTCTGCACCTGGAGATCTCAGATTTATTCAATGAAATCTGTGTTGGATCTTTTATATATAAAAAAAGAAACCTTTGGAGGACGCATGGGAACAAATATATATACCTATATATATATGCATATATATATACAGATATACATATATACATATACATATATATATATACACATATATATATTTATAATTATTATGTTTGGTGTTATTTACCACCGCCCTTAAGATCCGTACGCTTCACTTGAATGGTTTTTCTAACCCGACCTGCCATGGTATTTCGTGCCGTGCCAGCCGGGGGCTGGAGGGAGCCCCGAGCACCGGCTGCCGAGCGCGGCGGGAGCGGGACGGCGTGGAGGGCGCTGCCAGCGGGGCGCAGCTCACCGCCTGGCAGGGCCGGCTTGTTCAGCGTGCGGAGGAGGGGAGCGGGGCGGGCAGGGCCAGGCGGGGACGGCGCTGCCCATTCCCGTGCCCGCACCGCGCGTTTTCTTCGCGCGGCCCCCGCCACCCGGGGAGCGCGCGTGGGACGGCGCCGCGCGGCGGGGCGGTCACCGGCAGCGCCGTGTCCCCTCCGTGTCCGAGCGATGTTATTGCACCGGCAGTCCCCGAGGAGCGTTCAATTTGCCCTTGTTTTTGTTGCCACTTTCTCTTTCTCCGTGGTTCACTGAGGTTGCCTGCGCGCAGTGTTTCCGCTCGGTCGCATCTCTCCCCCGCGCCCCCCGCCTTCCCCCGCCCCCCTTAACTCTTTCCGCTGGACGAGAAATAATACAGCGTTTCATGCCGCGGGGCTGGCTCCCTGCGAGCAGACCGCAGCGCGCAGGGCAAGCCCGGACGCCGGCTCCCCTTGCCACCTCCCCCGCCGACGGGGCGGCCCTCCTCCGGCGCTGCCGGGCCAGCCCCCCGGCGTGACGGCTGCGGAGGGGCTGCCGGGGTCCGGGGCGCACCCCGGGGTGCGGGGGCGGACAAAGGGAGGAGGGGGCGGGCGGGGGGCGGGCGCCTCCGGGGCTGAGCGCGGCGGGGGGGCAGCTCCGAATGCCGGTACGGGCACTGCCGGCGGGAGAGAAGCGGGTGCGTGTGCCCGGTGGTGACACCTTCGCACAAACGCCTTTTCGAATCCTGCCCGGTGCTGGCGTCGTTATTATTGTCGTTATTAGTGTTGGTATTAATTATTACCGCCCGCGCTCGCCCCTGCCCGAGCGGCGACGGCGGGAGAGCTCCGAGGTGCGTGTGTCCGCCGGGCAGGAAGAGTTAAGAGGCGGAGGGAGGGATGGAGGGAGGAGGAAGGAGGAAGGGGAGAGGGAGGAGGGATAGAAGCAAGGGGGGGCAACTTCCATCTCCGACGCCACTTCGCCTAAATTAAAAAGCAGCCAATCGGAACGGCCGGAAGGGGGGCCGCGCGGCCGGCGGCGCGCTGTCCGTCACGGGGCGCGCAGCCAATCGGCGGGGGCGGCGGCGGCCGCTTCCTCGCGGCGGGGCCGGGCGCTGGCGGCGCGGGCGGCGGCGGCGGCGGCGGGAGGGAGGAGAGAGAGGGAGGGACTGACGGACGGACGGACGGACTGGAGGGGGGAGGGCGGAGGGAGGAGGGAGGGCGCGGGCACGGCCCGGGAGAGGGAGGCGGGGAGAGGCGAGCGGCGGGACTCCGGCACCGCCAGTGCGCGCTGCCAGCCCGGCAGCCAACTTCCCCGCTGGAGTTAGTGTATAAAGGATACCATATATGCACACACACATACACACACCTCTCCACCAAGGCGCTCCTCCTCCGCCTCCTCCCTCGACCAACTGCTGGAATTAAAATAAAAAGCAAAACAAACACAACCAAAAAAAAAAAAAAGACAACAAACCAAGCGAGAGAGAGAGCGGGAGAGGGAAAGAAACAATTCGCGAGGTAACGAGAAAATTCAACTTTTTAAATTTCTTTTTACTTTTTTTTTTTCCGACCGCCAAAAGGAAAGGTAGAGAGAAAAAAATGTCTTATCCAGAGCGTGACTCTAGCAAGAAGGCTCCGGCAGGACTCTTGTTTCAAAGGGGACAAAGTGCTTCAGCAACAGCACAACTTTGAGAAATGCATCATCACCACCATCACCACCATCATCATCACAGGAAGTTTTCTTAGGACACCAACAAAACTTGCAATTAACAGAGCAAAAGGAGATCGAGGAACCGAGGAGAGAAAGACAGAGAGGCAGAAAAAAAGGAAAATATACCCACACACAAAGCCTTAAAGGAAGAAGAAAAGGAAAAGTTTCACTCTGAGAGGGGAAGGCTGAGAGGAGGAGATGTACTCCTAGGGGAGCGGAGGGGAGAAGGCACGGGGGCTTTTTGATCCCCCCCCCCCCCTTTTTTCGCTTTTTAGCCTTTGTTTGGTTTCCTCCCTGCGAGCAGCAAACCCGGGCGAGAAGAAGGCGGAGGAAAACTACATGTACAGCTAAATATTTCTCTTTTTTTGGAAAAAAAAAGAAAGGCTAAAAAAATATAAAAGGCGAAGCGAGAGCCGGCGACCGCAACGAGCGCGCCGCGGAGCGGAGGCAGGACGGCCGGCGGACGGGCGGAGGAGAGCGCGCAGCGGAGCGCTAGCAGGTGAACCCCGCGCCCCGGCGCCCCGGCGAGGCTGGGAAGGCGGCGGCGGCGGCGGCGGCGCGGGCGGCGGCCCCGGCAGCGGCCCCGGCAGCGCCGGGCAAGGGCGCTCGCGGCGGGCGCCCGGCAGCCGGCGGCGGCGGCGCAGCGGCGTCTGCGGCGCGGCGGGGGCGAGCGGCGGGCGGCGGGCGCGGGATGGCCGCGGCCACCTCTAACCCCTACCTCCCCGGCAACGGCATCCTGGCGGCCGGCTCCATCGTCCACGCGGACTCGGGCGGCGGCGGCGGCGGCGGCGGCGGCGGCATGCAGCCGGGGAGCGTGGCCGTCACCTCGGTGGCGGGCGGCTACCGCGGCGACCCGGCGGCCAAGATGGTCCAGAGCGACTTCATGCCGGGCGCCATGGCCGCCAGCAACGGCGGCCATATGCTGAGCCATGCCCACCAGTGGGTGACAGCCCTGCCCCACGCCGCCGCCGCCGCCGCCGCCGCCGCCGCCGCTGCCGCCGAAGCGGGCTCGCCCTGGTCCGGCAGCCCCGTGGGCATGACGGGCAGCCCCCAGCAGCCGCCGCCGCCGCCCGACGTCAAGGGCAGCGGCGGACGCGACGACCTGCACTCGGGCGCGGCGCTGCACCACCGGCCGCCCCACCTGGGCCCCCCGCACCAGGGGCACCCGGCGGCCTGGGGGGCGGCGGCGGCCGCCCACCTACCCTCCATGGCCGGCGGGCAGCAGCAGCAGCAGTCGCTCCTCTACTCGCAGCCCGGGGGTTTCACGGTGAACGGCATGTTGAGCCCCCCCCCCGGCGGTCAGAGCCTGGTGCACCCGGGGCTCGTGCGCGGCGAGACGCCGGAGCTGGGCGAGCACCCCGGGCATCACCACCACCACCACCACCAGCACCCCGGGCACCACCCGCCGCACCACGGCGGCGTCAACAGCCACGACCCGCACTCGGACGAGGACACGCCGACCTCCGACGACCTGGAGCAGTTCGCCAAGCAGTTCAAGCAGCGGCGGATTAAGCTGGGCTTCACCCAGGCCGACGTGGGGCTGGCGCTGGGCACCCTGTACGGCAACGTCTTCTCGCAGACCACCATCTGCCGCTTCGAGGCCCTGCAGCTCAGCTTCAAGAACATGTGCAAGCTGAAGCCTTTGTTGAACAAGTGGCTGGAGGAAGCCGACTCTTCCACGGGCAGTCCCACCAGCATCGACAAGATCGCCGCCCAGGGCAGGAAGAGGAAGAAGCGGACCTCCATCGAGGTGAGTGTCAAGGGGGCCTTGGAGAGCCACTTTCTGAAATGCCCCAAGCCCTCCGCCCAGGAGATTACGAACCTAGCGGACAGCCTGCAGCTGGAGAAGGAGGTGGTCAGGGTTTGGTTTTGCAATCGGAGGCAGAAAGAGAAACGGATGACCCCCCCGGGGATCCAGCAGCAGACCCCCGACGATGTCTACTCCCAGGTCGGCACCGTCAACTCCGACACGCCGCCCCCTCACCACGGACTGCAGACCAGCGTGCAGTGAGGGGCACCGCGGGCGGGCCGGGCAGCGCGGGGGCAGCGCGGGCCAGGCCGGGCCGGGCACCGCCGCCGGCACCGCCGCCGGCCCCGGCACCGCCGCGCACAGCCGCACGCTCACACAGACACACACGCGCGCACACACACACACACACACGATCCAGGCTCGTTCAGACTGCTTGTGTTTATATATATATGGATATATGCGTGCATCTATATATATATAAGATCGATACCAATAGGGAGCGGTGGAGAAGGTCGATCCGAGCGAGAGCGTTTAGACCGTGTTGGGAAAACGGGGTGGAGATGCATAATGCACCAAAACTGCAGATGTGCCGGGGGGTTGGTTGGTTGGTTGTGGGGAAAGGGCTTGGGGGGTGGGCTTGGGCTTTTTTAATTTTATTTTTATTTTTATTTTTCTCCAAATTATCCCCTTCTCGCAGTAAGGAACACCACTGTCTGCGCTTCTTCTCTCCCCTCCTCCTCCCCCCCACCCCCCGCACTCTTCCCCCCATCCCCAAAAGGGCTCTCTTCTATGAATCACAGAAACTTTTTTTCTCCTTTCTCTCTCCCTCTTTTTAATTTTTTTTTTCCCAATGGGTGCAGTCAAAAAAAGGGAAACAGAAGAAAAATAATCTGGTTAATCAGAGGGTGCCTGCTGCATTCCGGCACCCTGTTTTTCTTGGCCAAACCGTAGAATTTTGGTGCAAGGCAGATATCCACTCTGAAAACATATATATCTATAAATCTATATATTCTGCAAAATGAAAGGGTCCACTTTTTCCAGGAAAAAAAAAAATATGCACACAGCACTAAAAACAAGCAGGCTGAATAGGGAAGCAAATACATATATATATATTTATCTATATATATAGGTATAGCTATAGAACAAAAATATGGAAATAAATGCCCGCACGCGGAGAAAACTGACCCTGAGGATAAAGGGGGGAGGGACAGACGCCAGGGGGAGGGTGAGAGAAGGAGATGTTGTTGGTCCCTAAAGTTCGAGCTCTGTAGAAGGACTTTGCATGAATTAAAGGAACCAGGGAAAGAAAGGGAAATAATTTAGGGCTGTCAAAGTCCTGCTCCTGACGGCTGCCAATCATCATGGAAGAGTCATAAAAAAAATCCACTGCTAATATTTTTTTTATTAATATTTTTATTTTTTATTTCTGGACTGATTCAGATAAAGGGATTTAGAAGGACTGAGCATCTGCAGCTGCACTTATCTGAACTTCTCCTCTCCTAAATCCGTTGCCAACTTTGATTGAATGGGTGCTGTGGATGTGATTATATAATACTGCCATTTCCAAGCAGTGTTTTTGGTAGGTTTTAATAAACAGACTTTTCAAAAAGACGGCAATATAGAATTGTTAGATCCGTTGTTGATCTAAAAAAAAAAATTTGCTTTATATTTTCATTAAATGACTTCTTTTAATATTTTATTCAGAATACCTATGAACTGCTGCAAAACGGTAATTTATTTTTTCCCCAGATCTTGTATTACGTGTTTTTTTCAGACGAGCACAAATCAAAATGAAATGAAAATATGGACAGTTGTTAGGTAATAAGGGTATCTTTTGATGTGATAATTTGATTGTAATTTAATTTGAGTAGTGATTCCGTAAGAGCTGATTGAGAAAATAAATTTGTTAGAATGAAATAGTCTGTGTCTGATGCATAAACACTGTGTCGAAAAACAAACAAACAGAAAAGTTCTCTGAAGGGACATACTGCTAAAGTGAGAGGAATACGGAGGGTCCGACCTGCCGGCTGCACGGCCCGTGCTCCCCGGCAGTGCCCCCGCCTCACCCTTGCTGCTGCTCGCCCGGCGCGGGGCTCTCCCCTGCCCGCCCCTCCGCCGGGCCCGTCCGCGCTCCCTTCCATCAGCCCCGGGCACCCTGTGTCACCGGGAAGGACGGCGACATTAGAGCTCACCACATGCCACCTTCCCCCCGAAAGGGCAGTGGCGCCTCGGTTTGGGCTGGCACTCGGGCGCGGGCGGTACCTGAGCGCGTCCTCAGGTCCCGCGTGGCCGGTGCTAAGAGGGATGTTTCCAAAAGTTCGGTCTTGTTTCCTCTCTTTCCAAACTGAGGCTAGACGGGGGGGAGGTGCGGGGGGGGGGGGGGGTTGCAAAGAGGGAGAAGGGGGGCTGACCTATAATTTATTTTGGCTCATTTTATGTATGTATTAATATTTGTATTTAATTTATCTTTATGATTTAAAGGAAATTATATTTTATAATTTTTTTCCCTGATCGAATATATAGAATAATACTTTTAGCATCCCACGTGCGGTCTGCCTAGTTCACCGTTTCTGTTGTTGCTGTTGCTGTGGCTGTTGTTGTTGTTTTAAGGTTTTTCTATGGGGTGTGAAGTGGTGTAGTCTAGTTTTCTCCTCCACTTTGCCATAGCGCTGCCATGCCTTCTTTGCAAACACACGCGCGTCAGTAACGTTGGAGATGCCAATAGATGCACTAGCTGACCTGTCATATTTATCCACTAGAATTTATTGCAATGTAGGGACAAGTGAACGACCGCCTCAACTCTCTTCATTTTGCAGCGGGGAGGTTGTGGGAAGTAGAGAGCTGCATCTAATGCATCCACCCGCCCCCATTGATAGTCTGCTGGAGAATAAGGTTTTCTTTTATGATCCAGTTCGTCTGTGGCTCCTTTCTCACCTTCCTCTTCCTCCCCTCCTCCGAGCCCCCTCCCTCCTGCCTTGCTTCTCTACGTGCTATTGAGGCAGGGGTTAAACCCCCAGAAAACTGCTGTAGGAACAACAAGCATTTCTTCCTTTCAGATAGGCCTTGTGTAAGTCCATAAATCAAAGCCAACCTGGGAGCCGCGCACCGGGATGCATTATTTTAACACCAGCTCGTAGTAAATATCACCGTCGGTTTGATTTGTGAAATCCGAAAGGCCCTACTGACACGGAGGAAATAAGAGGGGGGGTGGGGGAAGAAGCCAACCCAACAAAGGGAAGGAGAACCCGAAAGGGTAAAGGACGCTATTTCTTTTGTTCGTTGTAGCAGAAGCTGCTGGCTGATTTTGCAGCTGGGGAGGGAAGAAGGGCCGGGCGGGGGCCGGCGTGCAGGCGGCCCGGCCGGGCTCCCCTCCGGGGGCCGGGTACCACTGACACGTGAGGTGGGATCCTGTTTTCACACACGAAGGGGAGCAGTTGTATTAGCCGCGGAGAAAGTCTATTTAAATTTCGGAGCGGTATTTGGTTACTCGATTTGGATGGCAACAAAGAGCTAACGTTAGGCTTCACGCTGGTTTCTATTAAAAGGCAACCTTTGCGGGTTGCTGCCTCCGAAAAGCTGGGGGTTAGGCTGGAGGAGTAACGTGTGGTCGGAGGGACCGGCAAAATGTGCCCGTTCCGTGGACTTGTTATGCACAAAAAGTGAGGCCATGGGCGCTCCCCCCTCCGCCCCTCCGCCCCCTCCCCCGCCCCCGAGAAACTGAATCCTTTGAATGTATTTAGGAATTTCAGGGTTGTGAGTCTCTGAGATAGCAAGAGGTAGATAATAAGTGAGAGGGTTTGCGCTAAGGGTTATATTGTTACACGTGTAAATAATGAAAATATTGTTATATATCGCCAGATCTCTTAATGAATTTAGTAATTGTATTCATTTATAATATCAGTGTTCTGTGCTTGGTAATAGAGTCGGCATCGTTTTCCTTACTCTTTTTTTTTTTTTTAATCTTCTTTTTTTTTTTTCCCCTGCCTAAAGGAAAGCCAAATGTTTTACAAAGTTATGTTTGATCAGACTGGGTAATCCCGAGATGTGATTATTTATAGTTTACATTTTCATATCCTGCGGTCCTCTATTACGCCCCAGTCTTCTCACTCAAATCCCATCTTTCCCCCGTCGAGTCTGTACACAATAAATCATTTTCAGGTGTATTTAAAATAGTCATGTCACTGCTGTTGGTCTGCGTATATTCCGAAATTTAGCAGAGAGCTCTACTTTGGCTTAAAAACGCAGCAGTTCCTATCGGAAAGTGATCTTTACAGAATCCTTATGCTTTAATGTAGTGACTCGTGTTTGCACATTACAATGCTCATAACTTGTTTTGTATGAATGGTTTTAAATGGAACGTTTAGAGAATAATTGGTTCTAATATGAAATGCAGTATATACTATTGATAATTTTATCAATAAGTGTACTATTTTAAATAACTTTAACAATTAAATTTGGGTTTTTTTAAATTATATATTTGTAAAATATTTATCCTGTTGAAAGCAACAATACATTGTTGTATTTATTCGTTTATTTTTGTAATAAATGATCAACATCTTCAAGCTACAGCAAAATCGATACTTCTATATATTTATACAGGGATACGTTTCTGAAGCGCAGAGATGCACATTTCGATTTGGAAGCGAGTGTAAAGATTACCTCTGTAACTGGCAAGCTGCAGGACAAACTGTAGGCGTGAGCTTTTTCGCCACATGTACTTTAGTTTGCCTAAGTTCCAGGGTAATTAATCAAACTCTAAAAGGGACGCAACAAGTCCCGACCTCGGAGGCAGGCGTGGGGCGAGCGCTTGAGGACAGGGATTCATTTTGCTAATGCCAGGGTTGACGAGGAGCTTGGTCGCCTCTGGCGAGAGGAATGGGTGGCTGGATGGAGCGATCGGAGGAGATGCAGGGAGGTGGTTATTGCCCCATCGGTGTTTTCAGTTGCAGTTTGGCACAATGGAGCGGGCGCAGCCTTCAATAGGCGGCGGAGCGAGGGGAGAGGAGGGCGGCGAGCGGCCCCGCAGTGTCAATGACACAGCAGTAGGGAGTTCTTTGCTTGAGAGGTTTTGGCGACACAAAAAGCTGAGGGGTGAAGGCCGAACGGGGGAAGGCTCGCCGCCCATCCCGTCCTGCCCGACACCAAAGGAGCAGCGGGGCCCGCGGTGGTGCCCACGGGGCCTCGCCCTCGGGGCTGCGGCGGGACCCGCGTCCCGCTCGCCCCACGGCCGGGCTGGCTGCGGCGGGCCCGGGCCGCGCCGGGCGCGGGCAAACGGCGCTGCCGCGCTCCTCCGCTCGCGGAAAGCCGGGCCGGGGCAGCGCCGACGGGGCGGCCGCCGCTGCCCGCCTGCCCTGGGTCCCCGGCGGGCCGTCCCGGGGCGGCGGGCGGCCCGGGGGAGCCGGCGGGCGGGCGGCGCGGTGCCGCTGCGGCAGCTGCCGCGGGTCCCACAAGTTGTTTTCCTCGTGGCGACCATTCAGCAAAACGCAGGATCCTTTCTCCAAGATTTAAATTTCGCGGATGAATTACCATACAGCGGTTGCTTAGCAACTAAATTCAAGCCGGGCTAAGAATATGCAAGCTTTTTGTATTCTCATTAATAAAAATGCCACTCTGACACAGCAACCTGACTTTGGATCACTGCAACTTCTGTAAAAGCCATAGGAGAATACAAACCGGCTCCTCCATTTAATTACAGATCAGAGTGGCTTGAAATGTGATGTTTTGTTAATCTATCTTCCTAAAAGCGATGTAAAAAATAACGGCTTTTCAAGAGCAGTGGAAAACTACTTTTTTAATGGAGCTGTCTCCTGGTGCTACTGATGGCTGCATAGCAAAACCTTTTTTTTGAGTCACACTTTCATGTAGCATCCCCTCTTCCGTTTTGAGTTTCCTGAAATTAAAAAAAATTAAGATATTTGGAGCCACAAGGGAAAAAATAAAAATAAATAAGCTGCAGCCGATTAGCGCATTAGAGAGGAGAGCATTGCTCGGGAAAGGGAGGAGGGGATTAAAAATGTCAAGGTGCAGCCCCTGCCAGGCACAGACCCACGATGAGGGTGCAGTCTGTCCTTGCTCTGAAGCAGGAGTCTCTTGTGCAGAAGTGGCTCTCTTTGGCATAAAGTGCGTGGGCACATCGGCTGGGGAGGGCGGGGGAAAAGCCTTCAGGGACACCTTGTTGAATGTTTCTCTCCAAAATTTATTTCCCCTTCTGCTAACATTTACTTTATATTGCTTTTAGATCGGCAGTGATAAGATCTTGGCGTTAGAATCTGGCATCTTACACCCAATCTCATATATATGGGAGAATGACCTCATCAGAGGAGGACTGTGTGTATAGATAGAATAATTTAAACATAGACTAGACACCTACATATAAATCTATATATAAAGACGTGTGTGTATTATATATATATCTATACATCTATATATATAGATATATATTTGTGTGTGTGTGTGTGTGTGTGTGCCTTTAGCAGTACCAAAAAACTTCCCTGCCAGCCCCGCAGACCCCAGGCAGGGCTGCTTTCCCCGCTCAGCCTTCGGAGGGGGGCGGCCCCCTCCCGGGGCAGCGAGGGGAGCCCCGGGGCACGGCTGCGCTCAGGGTGCCGGCAGCCAGCGCTGGGGCTGCCGCTCGCTGCCCGCCACCGCCGGTGTGTGGCGGGAGGGCACCGGCTGCTGCCGGGGACGCTGGGCGCTTTTGCTGATGCCTGGGGGTTTGGGTTGTGGTGATGTTTTAGCGACGAAGAGTTAAATCCAAACTTTCTTCTCCCTTGTCGCCCCCCGCCCCCCCCCCCCCCCCTCCGGGGTTGTTAAAAATTGAGCCTGAATTGTATAAACGCCAAGGCACGTTAAAAGTTCAGACATGTGGGGTTTTTCTCTCCGTCGGGGCTTGTCTGCAGGAGGCGGAGGGGATCTTGGAGGTCTGTCCGAGCTGTGCAGATCACTGAGGAATCAGGGGGTTCCCCCCTTCCCCCCACCCCCGCTTCTCTCTTTCTCTTTTAAGATTTTCTTTTCTCCCCTGAAAAGGGGACGATGACCTGAAGGGCGGCAGTCGAAGTGGGTAGGCATTTGCCAAACGTGAGCTTGTGATGGAGGGAGCTCTCTCTCTCAGCAGGATTGAGTCTGTACTCACTTTAAAATGTAGAACAGCAGAAAAAAAATCCTGTATAACAAATACTAGGGGAAGAAAGGCAGTGAAGTGAGAACCTGTGAAGACTAGAGTCCCCCTGAAACTCAGGCTCACCCAAAGCTTTAGCAGAGTGTTTTGCTTCTCTCCCCAACAGTTATAGGATGAGCATCACAAGGCTATAGCACAAATAATCAGGTTCCATTCCATTTTGCATCGCTCTCTAACAAAGTTGAGATTAAAAGCCAAAATTCAAGCACAGCCCTTACAGAGCTGTCGAATAGTGCCAGTACATATGTTTCCCACTCACATGTTGAAAACTGTACCTTCAAACATAGGCTTGTTTCTGATATCTTGCATTTTTTCAACTACAAGGGGGAAAAAGCTAAACAGAACTTTTCTGAATTGTTCCTATTGCGCCCATCCATGGGTGAAAAGACAGCATTACATCAGCTCTGTGCCTCCAACATAAACAGGGAAAGTTTAGCAAGACAAGCTCACTGTCATACCACAATGGAGATCTTTATTTTAGACCTGGGACAGTTCAAACCAGTTTGACACTAGTATTGAGCACCACAAAGTATGTGGTTTGGAACAAACTTTCCTTCACATAGTGTGAAGTGGATTGTCAGGCTTGATGCCAGATGCTTGGTTACTTCAAGTGTCCCTTCGCTGCTTCTCTTGCAAGGCGCAGGATACAGAGGAGAGTTTTCATCTGCAGGGACAGTGCTTTCATATCAGACCACTGCGCCATGCCCTCCAAAGTCCAAGCATGGGGTCCTAGCAGAACTATTTCTTCCTCAAAAGGATCCTAAGATGAGAAGGGGGAAAATGGATTAGAAAGGGGGAACCAGCTGGGGACTGTTCCTTTCCCTGGTAGTAGCCCTGCTCTTAAAACACAATGTCAAGGCACTGCAGTACGCATGTGAAATGACAAAGACAGATGCTGTTTCTTCCTGAGGTCCACACTGAGTGGAGAAAGTCAAAGGGTTGTTGACTGTCTTGAGTATGGGGCCATTCTTTCAAACTGAAATGAATTGATTTTTAAAAGCAGGGACGGGCTAATGGGAAACTGGGTATGTCTGCTATATTTATATGCATCAAACCGAAATTTAAACAACTTGAGGGAATGTGGGCTGTATAAACATTTTATATATAGTAACCTTTTTGTTATTAGTTTTGGAAATACTTGGAGCTACTTCCCTGCCACTGCTCTGTACAGCTGACTAGACAGCATTCAGTCCCTACAGTCAAATAGGAGTTGTTTGCTCAACAACTCCAGGTTCCCTTTTCAACTGGAGTACTAGTGTACACCTGGAGCTGGTGGCATAAACCCAGATAGCCTGATGTATGCAGACCCTTTCACCAAGCAGGCAGATAAAATACAAAAACTAACTGCATGACTGTAGAGTTTTGGGCTGGAGGGTCTTCTGAACAGGTTGGCTTGGTTGTTTGGATTTTTCCTCTCTCTGTGTGAGTACTCATGAGGATCCTCTGAAGCTGAGATTGGGCTCATCTCTTCACCTCCCTTCTACATTCAAAACATTACAAATATTTACCAAGTACAAAAGATATGAGAGGTGCTGGGCATTGATCATTATTATACCTCTACACTGACAGAAAATGGGCCCAGGATAGGGGAGATGAAATTAATCTTTCTAGAAAAAAATAAAAAAAATTTAAAAAGAGTTGATAAACAATTGTTCTGGAATAACATAAATTTCTTTCATCATCTGGAGCTCTCATTCAAAACAGGGATCTGTCTGCCTGAGTGGGATATTTTTCAGAGAAATCTAATAGATATTTGTTTCAGAGTCCACACTAAAGCTACAGATCCAATGAAAGGTGCAAATCTCTCCATTTGTTTCTCACTCTCTCTCACACATATACATCCACACACACATGCATCCACACACACATGCAAACATGCACTCCCTTCTCTTCTTAAAATAATAAAACATCCTCTCCCCAGTTCTCTTGCTTTCTCTATTTTATGCAGATCCATACTCAGATGTGTACCAAAATTTTTAACCCACTTTGCTGAAATTGCCTAGATTGTCAAGAAAATTAAACTAAACAAGGAGCTGTGTGAAATGTTGAACTTTAAATACCATCCACTACCTCGAGAAGAAGAAAATTAGTCAATAAATACCCAGGTTTCTACTAGTTTTAGATTATCATAATTAAAATAGTATTTTTATTAGTTTCTTTGATTTTTTTATCCTGACGAGAATTCCCTCATGCTAATAAGTGGGTATTTGAAAATAGTGCCCTTTCCCTTTTGATTTGATACTGAAGGACAGGGTTACGGAGTCTCCCCTACGTGTTAATGCTGTATAGGGATGTGTTTAATTTTATGAACGCTGTGTGTGTTTCTGTGAATACCAGGCAAGACTACTATATCATTCTCAGTAGCCCAGAAGAAGCATGTTTTACCTGAAGAACTGGGCTTGGGCTGGATGCTGCTGTTGTTCTGGGTTTGGGTTTTAATTGCCCTGCCTATTCTCTCAAGTCAATATTAATGCCATACAGCACGGCTGAGGCCAGGGCTGAGTGAGCCCCGTCATTAACAATAGCATAAACAAAGGAAGGGGACCAGTTACCTTGACATTCGATGCCCGCTTTGTTCCCAAGCTTCCAACTGCATCCTGAAGCCCATACAGGGAAGTATTGCCCTATGGGAATGAATAATCCACTCCAGCTATTGTCCCAATCTCCTGCAAAACAAAACAACACAACCAAAACAAAGATGACAACACACCCTCGCTCCGCAAGGAGTCAGCGAATGGTTTCATCCCTTCCTGCCTTTCCTTGCGCTTTCCCTGGCCACTCGTGTTACTGACCTGCTCCCCACAAACGCTGCCCACTGCAGCCCACAGGTGCATCCTAATTTGCGCATGCACTCCAGCCTCCTATTCCCCAGTTTTTTGGGGGAATGGGGTTGGAGGCACCCCCTCCTGTGCCAGCGCAGCCCGCCCGGGTCCCTACCGCGACCGGGCCGCGCTGGGGGAGCTCGGTGTCAGACGGGGCGGCTCGGGGGGTGGGCTGCCCTCCGGCCGTGCCCGCCCCCGGCCCCTCAGCTCATCTCCGTGCACCACTGTGGGGCTGTGAGGGGCGAACGTGACCCTCTGTGTGTCTGTGTGCACCCACTGCCCTTCCAGCCTATCCCTCCGGGGCAGGTTTCCCGACCTTGCCCTCCCTGCCTGGCAGCTCCCGCTCCTAGCCCCCTGTCTTTGGCAGAAAAGCCCGGAGGGGCCTCCCCTGCTCACGCCCAGTCGAGGGAGCTGCATGGAGTGGGAACAGCTTTTTCCTCTGACAAATAATTAAGTTCCCTGAACTCAGTTTTTCTTGCCCTTCTCCTACAGTCCCATGCTGGCCGTCGGAGCAGAGGGACGGGCAGAAGTCCCCCTAAGTTTGTGGATGGCTGGTTTGACCCCCTCCTTCCCCTCACGGAGAGAGAGACACGGGCCGGACCACGGCAGCGCTGCCGTGGGGCTCGTCCCCGAGCCGGCCCCGCTTCGGAGACAGGTTTTGCTCCCGCTGTGCTCGGAGGGGAGCCAGTTCAAGCTCCAGGAACCCTGTGCCTTCACCGGGTTCTCCGGGAGAAGATGAAGGAGACTTGGTAGCACAGCCTGAGGTAGAGGGAGGCCTGAGGAGACACTTACATCGATCCCATGCAGCCAAATCCATCCTTGCATCGTGCCTCTATGTGGGGAGAGAGAGGCATACAGCGGGTTGCGAAGGAGGTAGTTTGAACCTAAAGCCCTTGCTTCAAAGGTTAATAGCTCCCTCGTCAAACGCTGCCAAACGCTACTGGGCCGAAGAAAGGGGAGAAGAGGGAAAAAAAAGAACATCAACATTACTACAAATTTCAAAGCACTGAAAATAGCTCTGAGAAATCCCGAGGATCCGCCACCGGTCCTTTTTTGTCCCCGGGACATAGGCATTAGGAAAAGCTTTTCTCGGATGTGCTTGTGAGCAAGGCCAGTGGGAGCTGCGGCTGCCTTTGGGGGCGAGCCGGGTGGCGGGGAGGGGGCTGCGGGCCGGCGCCGCCCCCGCCTCCCCCCATCCCCCGCACCTGCAGCCTCTGGCTGCGCCGGGGACCCTGCTGCTGTCGGCTCTGTGACCATCCCCCCGGGCCGTGTCGGGAGCAATCCCACTCCCAAATCCTCCCCCCAGCCCCGGCCCCCGGGCCGTGTTCCCACCGGGAGCCGCGGCGGCCGGGCAGGGGCCGGCCCCGGCAGCCCTTTATGCGCAGCGGTCAGCAGCCGGGTTGTGGGTTTGCAGCTGCATGCAAATAAATCCCCGGCAATAATCTAATGCGGGTGCTGCCCCGACGACAAAGTGCCGACACAAACGCAAGTGCTTTTGTTTGGTTTTTACCATCTCGGTCCCGCATCCAAGGAAAATAAATAAAACTAGGGAGGGAGAGGGAGAAAGTTGGTTAATATGGGTGTTTCATCCAACGAAGCCTGCTTTTGTGATGTACGAAACCCGAAGATTTGCATCCTGCACCTCTGCGAGACCTGCAACACTACCTATCCCAGCTGGAAAGAACGATTCCACCCGTGATGAGCAGGAACGAGGTGTCCTGTCCACCCGACCGACCTTAGCTGTTACGTTCACACGTGGAAAACGCATCTCTTCCCACAATTTTCAATTAATTTCAGCTGCATTCGATATAGGATGGGGCGGGGGGCGGGGGGTTTGCATAATTTTGTACGCTATCTTCTATTGCAGGTAAAAGGGGTTTTGTTTGTTTTACTCTTCTCCAAGAAAGGTCCGTTTGCACATACAGGGTGGAGTGGTTTGTTTTTTCCCTTGCTCATCTTAAGCAAAAGCTGAGTAGAGTCAATGGGATGATGAAGGGGAATAATAATAAAAAAAAAAAAAAAAAAAAAAAAAAAAAAGAGAGAGGGAGGGAGGAAAGGGGGAGTCTTTGAGAAAGAGTTGGAGTGAGAGAAGGAAAAAAAATCAGACCGCAAAAAAATCCCAGCAACACAATTCCAGAGAGGATGGGAGGGAATAGAGTTTCCCAATTGCCTTTCTGCGGACTGACATAAAAAAAAAAAAAAAAAAGTCACATTGAAGCTGAGGCGGGGGAGAGCTTTACTTTTGCGAAGTGTAAATCTCTAAGGACAAGCAGTATTTGATGATTTGATGATGCCTGGTGCCGCCCGGGACGGGCTCATCCCCCGCCGCGAAGGCCAAGGGGCAGGCAGGACAAGGGTGAGGCGCCCAGCCCGGGGAGAACCTCCAGTTCTCCCTCTCTCCCGCCCCTAACTTTTGTGAAAAGGGGTCGTTATCATTGTGGAAAATCCCGTCTCCCTGGCAAAAGACGCCAAGTTTGTCTCCAGCTCTTCCCCGCCACCAGCTCCCGCTGGGGGTGCGGGCAGCCGGTGCGCGGCCCCCGGCCCAGCCAGGTCGACCCCAACCATCGCCCGGTCCAGCTGAGGCAGTGCCCGCTCCGCTTTCGCGTTCCACGCCCCGTGGAGGCGACGCTGCCCCGCAGCCGCCGTGCTGGGCACGCACGGGCCGGGCCGCCCCTGTGCCCCGCTGCCCAAACGGCGGCCCTGGGGCCTCCCCTCGGCACATCGGCCCCGGGAGCTCCACCAGGCTTTGCCCGGCTGTCTCAGCGCCTCTCCCTGGCCTTGCTCGTCCCCAGCTTTCCCCGCTGAGCCCGCCCGGCACCCCCAGCACCCAGGTCCCGCCGGCGGCGGGGCGGCCGGGGAGCGGCACGGCAGGGAATAGCCCTCCCCTCGGCGTCTCGTCTGCCCGTGTGCGCGACCCAGCTTTTCCTGCCCGCGGCCCTGCGGCCGTCCCTCTGGCCTCCCTGGCATTCACAGAGCCCGGCCCAGCTGTCGCTTGTCCCCTCGGGGAGCTATTTTCTCCTCTTCCCCCGCTCCCCTCTCCCCAGATGCTCCTGGCCGCGGGATGCAGTCGCCCCCCCGCGAGAGGACTCTGTGGATCCCTCGCTGCCCACCGCTGCCTCCTTGTCTCCGCCGCCGACACAAAAGCCCTGACCAAAGCGGCCAAGCAGGGACGGCACAGCAAAGCCCACGCCCGCTGCCCTCCCCGTAATGCGAACTCCTGAGGGAAATCTCCCTGCGGGGCTGCGCTCCTAAATCCTAGACCCTCTTAATCTTCGCAGCTTTTGGTAGGAGAAAGAGGAGTTTGTCACCTAAGTTGCCCTTCGCACCTCTGTGTGACCTGACGGGGGCACCGGGACAACATTGCGCCGGTTTCTGCAATCCAAGAGGGCATCTCTGAGCAAGGAGCCGGGAAGAGTCTCCGAATCACCCCCTTCCCTACACCCCATGCACAGCCTTCTCGCCTTCGTCTTTGAAACTGTGTTTGACACAGCAGCTGAAACACAATTAATTGTAACTGATTAACATGGATCAGTTTCGCCTCCAAAGCACTTTAAGTCAATTCAGCAGCCATAATAATAATTAATTCATTAATAAGTACTATTGGTGCTTCGTCACTAACGCCAAGAAAAGTTTCCCTGAGAAGTACAGGTGGCAGGGAGTGTTAAAATGAAAACATTTGCATGCAACTTTTTAACCAGAAGGGAAAGCACTTTGGTTATATTTGGAGACATGTGTCTCACACATTTCCCCCTTTTTTTGTAAACTATGTAAGAATAAGCATTACAGCTCTGGGCTTTTAATTTCTCCAGATGGAATCATAAAGTACCTAGTAGATTTTTATATATATATATACTATACAATTGAGGACACATGTCTGCTTTTCCCGATGAGGACCGAGAAGCAACTTAATTTGAAGGCATAACTACTGAACCACATTTTGAATAACACACTCGAACAAGTTCACTTTAAAAGGCAGGAAACCACTAAGAGCAGAGCACTGAAAGTTGCTCCTTCCCATTTGAGCTGCAGTGGAAGCTCACAAGCCTGACCTTCACATACGCTGTGGCGTTTCGCACACACGTACAGAAGTACACCCCCGCGGAGGTGGCAGGGTGCCTGCCTGTGGAGGGGGCTTTTCCGAGGCACTCGCGTCCCCGGAAGGCTCCCCCCGCTCTCTGTGGGCTGAAGAGGCTGCCCGGGATCCCCCCCCCGGCGCGACGGAGGAGTCCTCTGATCCGCGGGTGACGTGAGAGGTCTCCTCCTGCCCCCCGGCTGAAGCGAGGGCTCCGCTCACCCTCCCGGCGCTGCTCTCCGCTCCTCACACGCACACTTGCGCGCCCAGCAAAGCGCTCTCGTGCAGGACAAAAAGAGGGAGGAAGTCAGGAAACCTCACCGATCTTAGGGATCCAGGCATTCCAGGCATGCTGAGGGGGGCAGGAACCCCTAGGCTAGGCGAATAATAATAATAATAAATTGTTTTGAATTGTTTTTTAAAATCCAAGGACAAGGGGTTTTTTTCTTTTTTTTTGGGGGGGGGAGGGTGGGCTCGAGGTGGGGGGGATGTTGGTGATGGAAATTACCAAAATATCCTACTCATCTCCCTACATAGGCTCAGTCTCCCCTTCCGTCTCCCCAGCACCCCCCCATTTCCCCCCCCCCCCCCCCGCCCCCCATGACTTACATGTGTTCAGAGCAATGCAAGGAGTTCCCAAGTGGAGCCCTGGCAGAGGGTGGTTTTAAAGTGGGGATGATTTACTCCTCCAGAGCTCGGGTCCCGCGTGTGAGCCTCCAGACCCGTGTCAGCTGGGCACCGGTGACAAACAGCCTTAAATATGCATAAGGAACAGTTCGCTTTCTTAAAGGAGAACTTACCCCACCGGAAAGTTCGCAGGCCGATGGCAGGCACGGGAGGAGGGCGCGGCGGTGGCCTAAGCGCCGGGACAGCCCTAACCCCTTCTCAAGGTGATCGCCTGCACGCTCAGCGGCAGGGCTGGGGACAACCAGCCGCCCTTCGGCTGGGCACCGGGCGGAGAAGCGTTGACTAGTCCATCATGGACTTAGTGAGTTGAGGACAAACAGTTTCATACACGGTCCTATCCCTCCTGTGCTCGGCCGGGATGGGCGAGGGACAGAGCCACCACCTAGGGCAGCCTCGCTCCAGCTCCAGCGGACCCCTCGCTCCAGCAGCCACTGACAGTCTGCCCGAAAACTCGCGGGGTTCTACACCGAGGGGAAACGCGGGACTCCAGACGAGGAAAAAAAGTGTTAGGAGGGAAGAGAGGGACTGATCAAACACCTAGCCATCAGAACCCAAGCAGGCTGTGGACATTGCAGGAGCAGCTTTCTGGAAAGGAGAAGTAATACAGGGGAGGGATGAGAGGCTACCCGTGGGTTTCACTCAGCTCCCCGGCTGGGAGCCGGCCGGCGCTCCCTGCCCGTTCCTGATAGCATATTCTCTCTGTAGGAAGGACGGCTCCGCCACGAGCCCCCAACTTTGCCCTGCCGGTTCCCGAGCCCCCTACTTTGCCCTGGTGGCTCCCGAGAGCCAAGCCCCGGCAGCCGCCGCGGGGCTGCCGGCAAGCCCGGGCGTTTCCTGCGGGAAAGGAGCATCCCGACGCTGGGCGCCGCTTCCCCCAGGCCGGCTCCCCGCGTTTCGGACAGAACCAGGGTTATTTCTTTCAATAGTGTTGCGATTCTTCCCCCCTCGCCGCTGCACACGTGGTTGCAAAGTCTGTAGCGCCATCTAACGGGAGGAGGGGGCCGGGCCGCCCGGCGCAGGGCAGCGGGGCTGGGCTGGGCAGCGCTCCTGGCAGCGAGGAGGTGCCCCCGCATGGGGAAGGGCGCACACCCTCACCCTGTGCATGAAACCGGCCCGAAAGGTGCTCTGAAACCCGGCCGGGGGTTATCCTCCAGGAGCTTCCCCCAGCTTTGCGGCTTTATGATGTCGTTGTAGCTGTGAAGAGCTGGAAGAGCTACTGCTATTTTTTAGGGAGGGGGAATGAATAAATTCCAGCAGAGTCTGACAGAGTTGAGAGTGAAAGGAGAGGACCTCTTAGCCCAGCATGTTTAACTTCTTTCCCTTTGCAGGGAGGTCAGGGAGGGCCCCAGCCAGCTGCTATGTCTTATAAGTGAACAGGGCCCCCATTCTGCTGCTTTGGAATATTTAGTATCCCAGGAAGCTTTTTGTTTCCAAAATTTTTGAGCATATGCTAATTTTTAACATTAAATTATGATGCTGCCCTTTTGACAGGGCACTTCAGCCATGCCTCTGTCCACATCCAGATGGGAAGCATCTGACTTGGTCACCCCAGTTCTGTTAAGTCACTGCATTAGTCGCCCAGATTAGGAGATTGTGCACCCCAGGCCTGTGGCATGAGCAGCAAAAAGAAAAAGAGACTCTCCACAATGTTTGAGCTCATTGAAGGTCACATCCAGTCTCTACAGGTGCCTGCCTCACTTCAGGTCTTGCTACCTCTAGGGCTTCAAGTCAGAATTAGACAATGCAGGCATTTCTGCTGAACAGGATGTAAGTTTTTCTTTAGGTTTGAAGTTTTCCTTATTTCTGCTTCTGCGTTTCTTTTACAGGTACAGAATGTGAGCTAAGTCTTCAAGTGCACGTACCAATTTTATTGTGTTTACTTAGGTCTTCTGTACATGCATGTTGGCAAGGAGTACCAAAGAAGCACAGAAATCTTTCTGTCCATACTTCAAGTCATGGAATGGTACTGTAACCTTTGGCTAGCAACAACTGTATTTGCATGAGCCATTCAAACTGTATTTAGTTTTTCAGTGCAGATTGTCCAATGCCTTTGGATGCCACTTCAGTGGGTGGCAAATCCTATGTGACTTAAATGGCCAGGCTAATTTTGCCCAAGTGATTTTGGCAGATTAGGTACCTGATCGTTGCTGACATTAGTTGAGTCTGAATTGCCACTACTAAGGCTCATCCCAAAAAGAGAGGGTTTAGGCTACCAAGTCCTGCATGGGATTTTGATTTCTTTCAGACACCAGATGGGGAAATAAAGGCTTAAACTAGAGTTACCAGTCTAAATTTTTTGTTGTATATTCAAGACCTCAGTCTTAAAGCCCATACTGAAATATTCAGATTCTAACTCCCTCTTTATTTTGGTGTAACATCTGAAATGCCTTTGATGTCACCTGCATAGTTTGGAAATTGGATTCATCCACCTGCATTGCCTATGCCTTCTTAACAGAGGAACAACTAATTGCTTTGAAAAACCTAGACCTTAAAATTCAACTCTGAAGTCTCCAGATAGCCAGAAATCAACATTTTAGGTGCTCTTTCCTGGTTTATTGTATGGAGCAAAAACTTCCTCCACAGCAGAAGGAATTTTAAGTGAAAGGTGACCAGGACTTTATCCTTTCTAATTGTGCTGTGCCACAGGCCACTACATATACCAGACAATCAAGCAACAGTAACAACTGCTTGATCAATATTCTGCTGCTTGGTCAAATTTTATCAGGGTTTGCATTTTCAGAGGTGAAAGTGTGATTCGTAACTCCTGTCCCATGTCATTTCCTGACACCCTATGGGCACCAGCAATTAAAAATTGCACAAGTTTATTCCAATATCAAAATAAGGCTTGTAAATAAAAACTAAACTTCACATGAAAAAAATGAAATAGCATACCATCATTGAACTGGTTTTATCGACAAGAAAAGATAACATGTATAGCAACAGACAGGAATAGATTTTCATTCCTGACTCTGGGAATGCTCCTCTTCTTCAATGATTGTGAAGAAAGGCAATTTCTATCTGTGTTGAAAGGAAAATGCATTTTTGGCTTTATGGGCAATACACAGCCCCTAATAGTCAGGCTAGGATGTCTAAGAGTAGGCATGAAAAATGAGACACATTCCAGTTTGTTAGCCACCTAGGAAGAGTTAGGCTAGCAAGGTTTATGGCTAGTTCCACTGAAGGGTTTACATGTCTTAAAAGTTAGTTGTCTCAGTATTTGAATTTCGAGTGCCTTTTGCTAAGACTGGGATCCTTGATGTTGTGTTTGGCATCATGGGCTCACTATACTGTGAATTGAGCAGGTGTGTACAGACAAGTCTTTTGTGCCTTATCCAAAGCCATGCTGTCCAGCAAATGACAGGAACAGCAGAGAAGCCCAGGATTGTGGTTATATTGAGAAATAACAATTACTGGTTTCAGCTGAGAAAGTTTTTTAAACTAAGAAAGTAAAAGTTTTTCCTCCACTCCTACATGAACAGTAATGGAAGAACAGCTGCCCAATGCCCTTCAGATGGAGGATTCCTCATGCTTTACCTCACAAGGACTGCAAATCTAGAAGAATGGCACATGACACATTTTGCTGTCACAGCTTCTAGCTTAGGAAAGGTTCTCCTGGTATTGGTGGTGGAGACCTGCTTTGAGCTCTACAGTAGCAGATATTAATTTGTGTCTGTTGGGATGGGATATAAAGATTGTAATTCAACCTAAAATATGACATCTATTTTCTCTTACTGTATAATCTTTGGGGCTTCCCTATCACTCAAAGGAGTCAAGCTTTGGTTTCTAAATTACTTCAGTGTTGAGAATTTTCTCATACTTCGAAAATGAGAACCTTGAAAAATGAGTTCCTTGAGATAATTTAACACAATGCATTTCCCAGGTCAGCCCCTGGGGGGGCAGGATTGTGAAGAGGCAGAAGCTGTGGCAATCAGAGGTATCTTTCACTATGCAACTGATGGGGCTGAGCCCATCATAAGCTTTTGAGTTCAAATTTTCTGAAGGTATGGTCATAGGTTTCTGTTTCTCCAAAGTCCTTTTGATCAGTCACTGGTGGCTTATGTGATGGGCCTCTGTTTTTTGGTGGTTTCATTTGTTTGTTTGGTTGGTTTTGTTTTGTTTTTTGAGGGGTTAGTTCTGATTCAACTGAAAAAACCCACTCTGTCTGAACCAAAGGCTTCTTTCATTGTTCTTCCCATTCTGGTGCAGAAAGACAAGGGGCCAAACCCTTTTGGGATTCTTCTAGTAAAGCAAGGAGCATAAATATTCCTTTGTACAAAATTGAAGCAACTTCATCCACATGAAGTTATTTAATTAAAATTGGAGTAGTTTTCAGAAGTGCTAGGGAATAAGTAGACTCAGCGGGTGCTCAGTCCCACTGTAATTCACAGTCCCTTCATGTAGATGCCAATGTTTTGACTTGGCTGACTATCTTTAATATTTGGGTTTAAAACTTTTGGCCCATGTGTTCTGTTTCCTCAGGGCCCTCTAATCTTTAACTTTTACCATAGAAAAATCTTAATGTTTTCAAGGTTCCACCTTGCTAGCAATATGGTTTGAATCAGATACACTGCACAGAGACTATTTTGATTTTTAAAAAGAACAACCTTATGGTTTTATTTCTGCAGGTATGAATAAAAATCTGATAGATCTTGAGTTTAGAGCTTGCTTTCTCTTGATAGCAGACAGCATGAGGACTGTGATATGGATCAGTGATACAACATGTTTTCCTTCATTAGAAACACAACCCCGACATTAAAAACAGCCTGCTGAAGAATCATATTCATTTAGTAATCATGTAATTTCACAATCAAGGGTTTACTATCCCTCCCCCCACCCCGGCCTCCCTTTAGAACTGCCCATTTATGGGCAACATCTGATACCAATAAGTTCATGATACCTATTTCTAAAAGCAATGCCTGCAGTTCAAATGGAGCTTTAGCAGTTGAGTTATCAGATCCAGCACTAACTGCAGATGGGATTTATCTTCATTAACTTTAGCCATATACTAGTTAGTGTGTAGGCCAAGTC